TCCAAAGAAGCTCTGAAAAGCGAGGCGAGCATCCCGATGGAACTGTCCGGAGGTGCTTCTGCCTGGGCAGGCGGATGCGGTGGAGATGCACCACTGCTTGAGGCCAGGGCGTTGGCGACGGATTTCTTTCTGCTCAGTTTCAAAAGGTTGGGAGCCTCCTGACAAGAGAAGGCATCTGCGACCGTGCGCCTCCGGGCCCTCCACCACGACGACATCGATGTCCCGATTGCCGGCCGCCTCCGAGAGGAAGGTTTCAAAAAGGGCTCGGCGGGTTTCTGATCGGCGGTGCTCTTGGAAGCAGTCCAGCCGGGAGCCTCCGTGGAAGCTCGCAGCCGCAGCCTGGTCGCAGACACCAAGAAGGACAGAGAGCAGCAGCAGGAGCATGAGCTCTCGCCACTCAGAGGTCTTCAGGCACCCTCGTAAGCACAGAAAACGCCCGTCGAAAAGACCCGAAACCCCAAACAAAAGCAATGCACAAAAAGGGTGGGGGACAGCAAGGGACAGTACCTCCTTTGGCCTCAAAGGCTTGCCTCCTTTGTGCGCGCCAAGAGGCCGGCGGAGGCTCAGGATGAGCAAATCTCCTCCAACCCCGGCCTCAGACGAACTTCTCTCCGCTTAATCCATTTTAAACTCACCCAACTTGAGCTTGCAGAGGCAAAGGGAGCGTTTCAGCGTTTCAGCAGCAACATTTTCCGCGTCTCCCTGTCCCTTCCTTCTTCCGTCTTCTCCCGAACTGAGGCTGCTGGCCGCCTCGAGATTGCGGTTGAGCAGAGCCCTCACCTGGCTTGCCACGGGCGGCGACTCTCATCTCACTTCACGCCCCCGCTGGCACCTGCGGTTCCGTCATCTCCGAAAGGTTCCTCGCCCTCAAGAAGAAGTTCTCCACTTCCTCCCCGGTTCACCAGCACAGCAAATAAGCACCGCTCGCGGCTGCACGCAAACGGCACGGCATCCTGTGAGCCGTAGAACCTCGCGTCCACCACAAAGGCCACATGCACCACGCCGTCCTACGCCGGGGAGCCAGGGAGAGGGGGTCGGGCTCAGGCTCAGCTCGTGGAGCAGAAGCCTTTTGATTTTTGTGACACATGTATCCCTGGCTTGGTAGCAGTCTTTGTCTCTTTGGAGACTCTCAACGCTCGGTCGTGTTGGGTCCTGGGTGGCATTCTGCTCCAGTGTCACCTGCACCTCGTTCTGCAAGCCCTGCCCGCAGGTCTGAGTCCTAGAAACTGTGCTCTCTGCAATTACGCAAGAGGCAACAAGCCGAGAAGGCTTCTTTTGAAAGGCCGCCTCGTCGCCCAGAAGCTCTGCGAGGCCCCTGGCCAGCCCTGCCGCGGGAGTGTCACTTACGGACGCGGCCGGCCCGGACGCCCTGCCGGGCGCGACGCGACGCAACGCAACAAAAGGGGGCCGCCGCGCCGCGCGTGGAGGGGGGTTTGGAGCGGCGGAGCGCCTTCGGGCACCTTCGGGTCCTCGAGGAAGCCAGGGCCCGACCTCATGCGGCGCAAGCAGCGCAGGTGCAGCGTCGTCCGTCTCGACACATCCGATCCGCTGCGAGTGCCCGGCGCGAGCAAGTCGAGGTCCCCAAGAATCTGCACCAGCTCAGCGAAGCTGGAAGTCGTGGAGCTGCCAGCGGCCTCACCGGAACTTCGGCCCTAGTCGGACACTCCCGCAGCCCAGTCGGACACCCATGGCTTCTGCATGTCGCTTGGGCCCAGGCTGTGCTCGCTGTGCTCGTGCTTGTGGAGGTCCGGGTGGCCGGGAGCTGGCACGGCTCCGAATGCAGTTAGAGGCCCCTACTAGGCGCCCTCCCGGCCCCAGTGTGATGCAACTTGAGATCCCACAGTCACTGCTGCGCACACAGACACACACACATGGCCCACCTGCGAGCACGTCGGGTACGTGCCATTCAGCACCTCCAGGCCGTGATCTAGCTCTGAGGAAATTGAGAGAGGCTCTGACATGAGCCCTGTCTTCAACAAATCAGTTTTAGGTGAGCCTTGTGGGGAAAGCCTAACTTTCAGATCTCATCTGGGAGGATGCCGCTGAGAAGTTACACGAGTCATCACGAGTCTGCAGGCTTGAAACGACCGTGGCACTTCACACTCCGGGGCACTCCGTCCGTGCCGCAGCTCCAAGTGACGGTGGGCCCAGCGAAGCCAACTGTGCAGCTCACGTTGCAGCTCTGATCCGTCCTGAGCTTGGGGGTCAAAGAGACTTCCACAGCCGCTTACTTGCTACTGCTGCCAGGCTTCAGAATGCCTCGGCAGTCGTGTGAGAATTGAGGTCCGAAGGGGATGTTGTAGGCACATATCTGAGGAACGCATTCCTTGGGAAACAGCTGCACTTCTTCTGTCCAGGTATTGGCCACAAGTCCCTACCGAAATTCATGGAGGCTCAGATCACGTGGCACTGAAGTATAGTTTACTGTGAAAGTCGTGCCAGCAAGAAGCCGGCACCCTGCCACGCAAGCCATAGCCGTCCTTTCACAGGGTCAGAGTCAGACGGCACTTAAAGCTCGGAAAAGAATCTACGAGTAGAATGCCCATCACTCCAAGGTTCAATCAGCGGCGCATCGCTCACCTTAAAAGCCGGAAGCGACCGTAGAGCTGTCGCTGTCAGTCCCGCCAAACAAAAGCAATCCCGCATCCCGGCAATTTTCCACAGCAGGGTTGCCGCTGGCGAGTCGTCTGCCGAGCAGTTCCACGGTAGCACCTCTGGGGAGAAAATGCAACGGGGACTCCACTCGAACCGCCGCTCTCCCTCCTGCTCTCCGTGCCTGCCAGAGCCGTGCAAAGCCCTGCCAAGGCAAGGCCACCTGCGAAAGGCGGAGAGCGGAGGCAGCCAGAAACCGCATCCGGCCGAAACCCTTGCAAGGTGCATGCCGATGCCGGAGACTTCATGACTTCGGCCTCCGGCAGCGGTACGCCGTAGCCCGGAGAGCAGTAGGCGAAGCAGCTCTGCCCGGCCAAGACCTGCGAGCCCGCTCGCTCTGCGCAGGCTCCACAGCTCTCCACAGCTCTCACTGAACAACGTGCTGCAGTCGGCACTTTCTGCAGCAGGAGCCACGCCGGCGCAGGTGTGGACGACGTGTGGGATCTCGAAGTCTGTGCTGCAGGAAACCGGCTGGCCTGGGCCGGGAATCGAGTCGTGTGATGAAGCCGCCTTTCGCCTTGCCTATAGGGCTTAGAAGGCCTAGAATTTGGGGCCCAAGTCCAAGTGAACTGAAGACTGCAGGATTCTTACTCTCTCCCTCTCCGCGTGCGAGCAGCAGCGTATTTCCACTCCATCGCTGTTGAAGCCGCCGTCCACACTGCAGTTGTACCTGAGATGCGGAGACTTCGCGCAGAAGCCCTGCGTCGCAGCAACAGGCGGGAGCTTCTGCTGAGATGCCGCTCCACGCTTCCGCCGCTTACTGTGCGGAAGCCTCTCGCGCAGCGTCGCTCACAGGACCTCCGCGGTGCACAGAAAAGGTGCGCAGCTGCAGGAAGGGCAGCTCGGCTGCTCTCTAAGCACACCGCTCGCCGGCTGGAACATTGCTGCAGTTGTCCGCAAAGGCATTGGTCTGGGTCAAGCCAGGGCATCTCACAGGCTCACCTTAGCAGGGCTTGGCTGCCCATGCCAGTCTTCGGAGAGCTTAGGACCTGATCTGACCAACGTGAGCTTGCAGGCATATGCACTTCCGACGCGTCTCTTTGTGTTGCTCAGTACATGTTGTCTTTGGTGTTTCTTCCCTCCGGTCTCGCGCGCTCAGCACGATTGGCTAGCGCACTTGATAAAGGTGCAAACCAATATCCCCATGAACGCTGTTGCCTGACTGCAGTAGCTGCTGACTAGAAAGTTTCTCCCCCACTTGAACTCTGCGACAGAGGTGGGGGCCACGACGTTTCCGGAGCAGGATTTGAATGAAACATTGGCACTGGACGCCTCCTTTTGCGTGGTGACTTGCGTCGAGGGGCAAGTGGGTAATACTCCGGAAAGGCTCACGCTGCTGCCGTCGAGCAAGCACTGCCACATCTCGCCTGTCTGCCCAGAGGCCAGCTGATACCTGGAGTCAAGTGCTGCTTCAGTTGAAGACCCTAAATTGGGGCATCGCTGCTGCCACGATGCCCATCTGCACAGTAAACGCCTCAGCTGCGAGAAACGACTCCCGGAAATGTTTGGGTCAGCAAAGAGGAACAAGGGTGATTGAACGGCCAGGCACTGCAACCTTGTCCGAATGCCACATCCTCACAGTCGTGTGTCACGGAGGGGTCCTGAATCAAAGATGTGACAAGCTGTTGTGGGGCCAGTATGAGTCATGCGAGATGGTGAAACGCCAAACTTCAGTCTCAATCGAAGTCGAGTGCTGCGACTCTGCGACCTTCGAGCGAACACACCCGCCCAGCGCCGGACGCATCCTGGAGTGTCGGGCTCGCGGCGCACGTTGCAGGCAGGCAGACCGGCAACTCTCCCACCAAGGAGCCACCTTCGGCTGTCGAAAGATCGAGTTGGTCAATGGCCATGCGGCCTTTGGGTTACATTGCGTTCTTTCTTGCGCTCTGAGCCCCGATGTCTGAGCAACGTCACGCATGCTCAGATTAGCGAGCCAATGGTCAGGTTGAGGTGTAATCACCTGCACCTGCAACTTTTCGATAATTCCTGTTCCTACCCTTTCTATTCATCTCCCTGCAAGCCTGATTATAAGCACGAGGCACCGGTGCCGCAGGTGAGGACAGCCGAGTTCTCCACGCTTCCAGGCTTGCAGGTAACGGTGCCTCAAAGCGAGGGAAGCGGGAATTCCTGGGCTGGGCTGATCGCTGCCCTGTGGCCCCCGCAGGTCATCCCAGTCGTTAGTCCAAAGCAATCCTGCCGCACGTGCCGAACAAAAACGCGGGAGCCGCTACAGGTGCCCCAGCGAAAGGCCTCGCCAGAGAAAGCCTGGTCCACGGGAAGGTTGTTCACGCAGGGATCGCCAACCTGAGAGATTGCGGATTTCGGCTTCGAGGCCGAGCCAGGCCGAGCTAAGGCAGCCAAGGGACGCAGGTCGGAGGCACCCCAGTGATGTCTCCCTCACTGCCACACTCGAACCTCAGCGAAAACCGCCCCCCCCAGCTCCCACATGCTGCTGGTCCTCCCTGACTCCTCTCGACCGAGCGGCTGCGAAGCCCAGCCCACCAGGTTCCAGCCCTGGGCACAGGTCACGCCGCAGGTGTCCAGGAAGACCTGTCACTGCAGGCTCACCGCAGGCGAGCGAAAGCAAGCGGGCGCTCACTCTGGCAAGGTGCCATGTCACGGCAGTTGTGCGCGAACTTGCTGTCATCCAGAACCAAATCCAAACAGCTGCGCCGCTGGCACGGTGGAAGGGTTCCTAGCAATTACATCTGCTGGTTGTTGCACTCTGCAGACCTCTGCATCTGAGAGGCCAGTGAATGTGCCGCTCGGCAAACACTCGAAGAGCTCTGGTCCGCCGGAGTACTCGAAGCCCTGCGAGGTGCCGAGGCGGCGTTTACGACAAGCCAAGTTCCCTTTCTGGGTTAGATGTATCCGCGAGCCTTCCGTTGATCAGCCTTTTCTCAGAGAATTGGGAAGGGTCAGGAAGCGAGTGGCATTGCAGTGCTGTGATGAGATCCGCAGCACGCGGCTGTGATCGTAAGTTACGTAAGTAGGTTTGCCTCGGCTGAACCTCAAGGGCCCCCCCACACGGCCCCGGCCCGGCGCCCTCAGGCCTCCTCCGTGCAGCTTGCCATGCAGATTCCGCCCGTCCTCGGCAGATGGAAACTGGCCGCGCCGCATGCCGTCTTTCGACTCACTGAAGCCTGGACTCCTTGAGTCTTCGAGACCCCAAGCTGAATTCGCACCAGGTCTCGTGACATTGCTGCAGTTGTGCTGCAATCCGACCGCGCCTGCGAGAGAGGCTGCCATCTATTCAGGAAGCGAAAGAAGCGCCAGTTTTTGTGCCAAGGCACTTGGGACGTTGTAGGAGCAAGGCCGTGGAACGCAAGCTGGCAGGACACCTCAGACAAGGCGCTGGAGGCAGCAGGCCCGGGCGCCCCCCCCCCCAACTCGACGACCGTTCCAAGAGAGGCTCCTATGTATATTGCCTTGGCCGGAGAGCTCTCTCTTTTGCAGAGAGCCTCTTTCTCCAAACTGCTGCCGGCGTGCCGCCGCTCAGGGCTCCATTGTCGCAAACAAGAACCGTCGCCGATCCGGTCCTGGGTTGAAACGCCCGCTAGCAAGATCCCTTATTAAGGCCACTGCGGGCCGTGACCGTCAAGGAGCATTTCCCAACCCAAACTGCAGTGGGCGATGCAGACCTCGTTGTGAAGCAGCAGAGAGCAGCCTCGGGAGAGGGCCGGCCAGAAGGGCGCTCGGAAAAGCGCTTTTCTCGGATTCTCGCTTCCGTGCTTTTTGTCAAGGATCTATGCTCGTACTGTGGCAAGGCCAGTCCAAATCCATCCACAGCAGGCTGATTGCCTCAGCGGAACGTAAACTTCACCCACCCTCGATCTCCATCCCATACTCTCGACCACCCGAATGCAGTCGCTCGCTGTATTTCGGTCATGCCGATCTGTCAAAGCCGATGCACCCTAGAACACGCGACAGCACGAAAAGAAACCTCATGGCTCATGCCGAGAGACAGGGGCCCCTGGCAGCCCTAGCACTTCTGGGCCAGGTTGCATGCAGCTGTCAGTCGCCGCGGTTCGAGGTCCAGGTGGCCCAGGCCCAGACGCCTCGAACTTGAGTTCTGGCAGGAGATGTTCGCCGCTAGCGGCCGCACCTGCCAGCTTGTTGGGCACTTTAACTGTTCACTTTGACGTCCCTTCGGCCCAAAGCCGTATACAAGGCCTCAAAGTCACAGCTCAAGATGCGCAGTCTCTGCACCACGTCCCCGACTCTGCGCGAATGGCCGCGAATGCTTGGGCCTCGATGACATTGGCAGCCTCGTCCGCAACGCATTCGTAGGGCTGCGGGTCCCCAGTAAATCCCGACCTCAGCAGCGGATCGATCCGCGGAGCTGAGAGGTGCAGAGCCGCGAGTGGAGGCGCGAGTTTGGGGCAAGCGGCTTGCAGAAAGCCCAGCACTCGGCTCCGATCCTGAGAGCTCTTCCAGGCCCCCACGTGGGCACACGCGTCGTCTCGTCTTTTTAAGGAGTGGACACTTTTACACCGCTTCAAAAACGCTCTGACAAGGAGCGACTTGTTCTCGCAGGTGCTTCCAACGCTGAGAGCGTCGAAGTTCGGCGAAGGGCACCGAGAAGTCCTCACCTGCAAGCGACGTTTAGCTTTTGAGCGCAGGCTCGCGCACGCATTCGCGTGCAGTCGCGTTCAGTCGCACAGGTTGCCGGACTGGAGTTGAGACCGCCTCTGGCACCGTCCCGAGAAACTGGCCGTCGATGTGACACTGCAGCACTGCAGAGCTTTCGGGCCCCGCCATGGTAAATCCAAAGGAGGCGTTCCTCAGAACGACCGCCGCGAACGTCCCCCTTTTACTACACAGTGACACAGTCTACGTCTACGTCCTGCCAAGCAAAGCGGCACTGTGCAGGTCTGCAAGGTCGTCTTGCCCAGGCAATCGTGTTGGACGCCCAGAATGTTAGGAAGGCCAATCCTGCGAGCGGGCGTCATAAAACGTCCCTTAATACGACATCGAGCAATTCCTCCACCCTCTTTGTTGCAGTGTGCAAGATCAGTTTTATGTCCATGTCAGTTGCAACTCTCTACAATTAGCTGCTTGTCGTCTCCGCCAGTTAGTTGTTCCGACTTTGCCTTCCGCTTTCGTTGCCCCACTGGCGTCTCTCTGAGAAGGCGCTCCAAGTTGAGATACGGTGCAGAGATTGGTCTAATCAACATCGGGGTCATGGTTAAGAAGAGCTCGGGCAAGAACAGGTGACAGAGGAAAATCCACTCCGTCACTCAGCACATCCCCCCAAAACACCCACGCAGCTGGTGCAGCCGTGCGCAGCTGGCCCCCGCGGCAACAGCCTGTCACGCTCCAAACCCACGCAGCCTAAACAGCCCAGCTTCTCCTGCAGGGGTTGCTGACACACGTTGGCCCCTGGGATGTCTCGGCGGGCATCTGACTCAAAGACCTCAGACAGCTTTTCCCAAGCTTTTTTTCTCTCAACTTGGGAATACGTGACTTAGTAATAGCAGTGGCAACAAAAGTTGAAATCGCAATAGCAATAACAACAGTAGTCGTAACGGTAGTACGTAGTGGCGTAGCGTAGCTTCACTCGCACTGGAAGGCGTGAGCGCCAGTTAGGTCTCGAGGACTAGCAGACTGGCAGCCTCTCCCACTGCAGCTTGGCAGCTCCCTGTACCCCGCACTGCTGTTGGGTCCAGCGTCGCAAAGCATCAATGTGGCCTCACTTCGAAAGTTTGGAACATCAGTGAGCTGGGCCGGTAGGGGAGCCAAGAGCTTTGGAAGAATCTGCAGAGTGGCATTGCCCAAGATGGTCCAGCCGGTCTCGCAAAAGACGCTGCAGAAGTCCCCGAAGCTCTGGCTGATGCAGGAGTCCCCGAACCTGAAGCCACTACGCCACTGCGGCGACGGCGACGGCATGCGACGGCGTAGAGCGGCTTGGCTCCGGCTGCGGCCCGGTTGCCGGGCTTCGTCGAAGGGGGAGACCGTGGAGATGCCGCCACAGGGCGTCGGAAGGCAGGAGAAGTTGCCTCCTGCAGAAAAAGAAGCCGCGGCGGCTCAAGATCGGTTTCGCCGAGCTTCGCCTACCGCGTTATAGACGGCCTCTCAGGAAGCTTCCGTCGCTCTGACAGCTCATCTCCGCCACACCGACGGGGAAGTAGCCCCGCTCGCAGTCCTGAGCCGCAGAGGTGTCGTGGGGTCGGGACGAATCGCCTCTTCGCCTTCGGGCCTCGGGGGGGTGCGCTTTTCTTTCCGAGGCTCCAGGCTGCAGTTCTGCGAAGTCCTCGCACCCACGCAGTCCTGAAACGCACGCACGCACGCCCTCGGGCTCTCGCTCTCCGCTTGACAGAAAATCCACGTGATGATTGTGGTCGGCTTTGGCTATTGAATGCAGTAGCACCAGGCCAGGCCACCGTCACATTCACGCCGCTACCGAGGCTAAAGCCTTGGCACGAGTTGCAGAGATGCCCACCCAAGGCACGCTCGCGCTGAAGCAATATTGCAAAACATGCGTGTTGAGAAGCCGAAGAGGGAGCAGGTGTTGGGGAGGCAGAGCGGGGTTGGCCCAGTCAGCAAGCCGTCAAAGCAGCGCAGCTCAGTGGGCGAACCTCGGGGCGAGTTCAAGTCTGGGCGGATTCCTCTCCACAACGCAGAACGTCTCTGCAGCGATCTTCGGAGTGCAAGAAGCCGGTGAAGCCCGGCATGCATCGGCCAATGCAGCGGTCGAGATGTTGTACCTGAGTGCATCAGGTCCTAAGACCTAAGAGGCTAATGCTGACACTCTCGATTTCACGGCCTTTGGGCTGACTGCGCGGGTTGACAGTCGCTGGGACCAACAGGCCCTGCGCATTTCATCATGATTGCGTCACCCGTCTCTAAAGCATCGGTGCGAGAGTGGCGAGTTTGATGCTCATTGCCCGCGATCTTCACCACTTGTGATACTGTACCGTGCTGGATCACCAGAGTCTGTCCCTCAGCGCCTTGTTTCAAGGGATTTGCGGGGAGGTTGTCTGGGTAATTCTGCCTCCAGGCTGCGCCCGCACAGTCAGTGGAGAGTTCGGGCGCGACCAGCCGGGAAGGGATGGGACAAACTTTCCGCGCACAGGACGGTGCCAGCCCGTTGAAGGTCCCGTCCTTGGCTACGAATTGCAATTGCAGTCGGCCTGTCGGTGATCCCTATCGCTTGCCGTGCGAAAGCGCTGTCGGCCTAACTAAGGCCTATGCAGCACACTCGTCACTAGAATACTTTCACTGTGCCTCAAGGCACTCCCTGTTGCATGACGATTCCACGTTCTCCGAGACAGAGGCGTAAGAGTGACGCTGAGCTGAATGCAAAACGAAAATATCGTTGCGACTAGTTCCGCCCAGTCTTTGAAAGGTTGTGAGACCGAAGCAGGTTTGGCTGTTTGGGTCCGCTGGGGGGACCTCGTTTCTGCGTCCAGGCGGCAAGGGAGCAGGAAAAGATCGAAGCATCGCCTTCATAGCCAAGTTCGCAGGAGACCAGGCAGGAGCTTCCGGCGAAGGTTCCAAGGCAATCAGAGAGGTTCAGGCCAACCTGTCCGGCTTGCCGCTCTTGGCTTGACTTGGCTTGCTTCTGAGCTACCGCGATTGCCCCCCAGCCTGCTGCGGCAGTAGGTTGGAACTGCAGCTCAGCCGTTGACATTCGGGAGCCGTGCCCAAGAAGATACCCGAAGATTGACCTGAGTTCTCGCAAGTCCAGCTTGAAACCTTGCCGCCCCTTGCACGCTTTGGTCAGCCGAGTGTCAGAGGAAGACGGCCTCGTTAAACTGGTAACCAGCGGGGCAGCGCACGAAACCTTAGAGACAAAGATGCTGAGAAGAACTCCTGAAGACGGAAAAGAAAAACCAACCTGTGGCTGTGGCGCTCTGTAGAAAAATTGCCCTTCAGCCAGAAGGCCCCAGCTATCGTGCGGCCCAGGGGCAAAACCTGAAGAGCTCCGTGTTCGCGCAGTCGGTCGTGTCGAAGCCACTGGGTAGATCCTCCTCCAGAAAGCAGTGTTCAGGCTCTTTGGAGAGCTCAAAGCTTCAGGAAACAAGGGCCGGGGCTTCCGCTTCTCTGGGGCAAGGCCGGGCTGCGGGTTCGGCTACCCAGTACCGGCGGTTCTTTTTGTCTCCTCTGCGCAGGTCGGCACCGCGCATTCCAGTCCGGGCCCCTCAAAGAAGCCGGTCGGATTGCACAAGTACTCCTGAGAAACAGAAGAAACACAAGCTGCGCGCTGCGCTGCTTCTGCGCTGCTTCTGCTTCACTCGTGTTGATCATCACCCGTGAACTCCCGGCCAAGACTCCGCGGGCCCACCAGCGAAGCCAACGTCGCCTAAATGAGGATTAGAAGAAAGGCCAACAAACGCGAGTCTTCTCCTCCTCTCCTCTGTGCTGGGATCGTGCGAGGCGCAGGAGACCTCGCAGCTCTGGCCGTTCACCTTGCCCTCGCAGTCGCTGGTGACAATGCCTCAGGCAGAAGCAAGAGAACAGAACCTTCCCCAACTCTGACTCTCTCTCTCAAACCAGGTAAGTCTGAGCGGGGGATTGATTGAGTGGAATAAAAATACGCTGGAAGCGGCAACCTGTGGTTTGGGAGGGCAGGGGCACGACAAGTTGCCCAGGCCGCCAGGCAAGCCTGCGATGCAGGGTCTCGTGCACGTGGGAAGTGGACCTGACTCGGACACAAGCCGTCGCTGGCGACTGCTTGGCTCGCATCTGCTCCGGCCTTCGAAGATTTCTGTCTCGCCGCACGTCAGGGTCGTGGCATTTGCTTCGAAGCCTTCGGCACAAACGACTTCCTGAGCAAAGCACAGCGTTCCGTTCCAGCACGGTAGGGCCGCCCTCCCTAAAAGCTTTTTCCAGTGTTCACCCGGCGTTGTACAGTTCAGGCCGCCCTCAGCAGCTTGGTGGCCGCCTTCAACCCGGATCCAAGGCTCTTTACACGACTTGCGTGTTCACAGGCTTACGGAGCTTTTCCAAGCCTACGCTTGTTACTGCGAGTCCCCTCAGCCTCTAAACAAGCCCCGACATCAGGCAGACCTAATGCTAGCCACGAGGCACAGGTCTCACCTCAGCACAACGCGGGGGCTTCTGGAAAAAGTGTGATAAAAAACCGTGTGCACTCCGCAGCCCCGGACTGTCCGGCTCTGGGCTGCCTCTTAAAAAACTCTCGACCTCTCCATCGCAGATCGAGCAGCCGGGTGTTCTGGAGAGGCAGTCCAGCGCATTTTGCGTAACATCCGTCAGTGGCAAAGGGCAGTCTCCAGGAATAATCGTGTAGGTGACGGTCCTAGTCGTGAAGGTCGTGGTCACCTCAAGCAGGGAGAGCTGCCTCTTATCTTTTGAATGCAATAACTTCAGCTTCCGGGATAGGACCTTGAAGCCTTGGGCAGGGCCCAAATGGTGACTTTTGGACACATGTCTCCCGCCAGGATGCCGATGTTATAGAGGTCACCGTCAGCGACCTCCGTTCCGATGCGAGTCTCAACCTACGTCTCCAAACTGCAACCCTGCAAACTGAAAGTACCCGGCAACCATACAGCGGCGCACCCGATCCTTCCTCTGTCTGCGCATGCGAACACTGCAAACTAAAAGCAAGCAGGCAACGAAGCGAACAATTGACACATGTGTCCATGTCAGCACATGACGTAAATCGGTCAGTTTGAAAAGCTGGCGAGGCTCTACTTTTTCTCACCGCCTAACTAAGATACACTACTCCAATGTATACTTGCAGAGCTTAGACCTTCACGATGTCATGAGCGCCTCTGCTTAGTCGCCCTCACGACCATGATCCTTGTTGCTCTGGCGTCTCGGAGAGCCTACACGTATGGCAACTGAAACGATGACCGAAAAAAACAACCCTAAACGGCCCTAAACCCAGTTTCCAAAACAATGAAACATCAATGCTTGAACCGAGGCTCGTGGTCGTTGTAGCCGAGGTCGTGGATGTAACCTTCCCATCAAGCATTGCGGTGGGGGCTTGCAATAAAGGGTTCGACATGATCTGTCATGTTTGGCGCGAGCCCACTGTGATTGACTTCATGGCAAGCAGCGGATACGGAAGATGTGGTGCTCTTCGTCGTGCTGCTGGAAGTGGAAGAAGTAGAAGCGCTGGAAGTTGTAGTGCTCGAGGTTGAAGAACTCGAGCTGGAAGTACTGGAGGTGGAAGTACTGGAGGTGGAGGTAGTGGAGGTTGAAGTAGACGAGGATGTAGTGCTGGTCTGCACACCTGGGAGTGTCGGCCCTGCAATACCCCTGCTAGAACTCTTCTCCAGTCCCCACATTCCCGACAGCTCGAGAGCTCCCTTCGTAGGGAAACGCCTCACGTAGCCCGGTGCGCTTCGGTGCCGTTGGGGCCCGGGCGGTGGTAGACGGGAAGCATCGCTCCCGGAAACGACCTGTTGCCCTGCAGAAAGGGAACGGGCGGATCGGGCGGGGGCTCGCAAGCATCGATTCTCTTCCCACGTCACAGCGGCAGAAAACCATCGAATCAACACTCCGTGAGGCAATCGCAGCATTTTCCCTGCCTGGACGGGCACAATGAGGAAACCTACAGAAACCTTGGTAGCTGCAACATGCTGCACTGAAGCGGCGCTCAAAGATGCGGCGCTTCGCTGTTCACATCTCTGACTCTGGGGAACTGAGCCAGGTTGTCGTTCCAGCAGAGTCTTCTACGAGATTCGCGATCTAACATAAGAGGACCTCATCTGAGCTCAAGGCTTTTCCTATAGGGGCTTCTAGAGGACTTTTCGTCGCTTCAACTTCTCCAAGATTGAACCTTGCACCTTGAGCCTCCCTCGCTGAGAGCGCAGCCGGTGGCAGCACAAGGCCACTCAGCGGGAGGGCATACCACGAAGGATGGCAACCTCTGGACCGATGACAGGCGAGGAAGAGAGAGAGAGCGAGAGATAGGCGGGTCTGTATCCCTCCACACCCTAAAGATTCCAAGCCCCTTCGACCGTAGGGGAAAGTGAGTTTGTGAAGCGAAAACCACCTCATTTGCTCAGACGCCGAAAAGCTGCCCGGTCATCCCGCCTGGGAATTATCCCCCCCCAGACATCCCCCCATGTTCAATGCTGTTTCGACGTTTGTCGGCGCAGGCTCACCTTTTCAAAGACCTTGCTGATTTTTTCCAAGGATGCTCCTGAGGCAGAAAAAGAACTCTCCAGCCGTCGCCCAATTGGCCTGAAGCTAACAGGGTCAAGCCACATTCGAGCATCTCGGCTGTCCACACCTGCGCACGTCGCGCGGGAAGAGACCATGAAGGGCAGGAAATTCTAATTGCGAAGGCTCCCAAGCTCCTCCTGTCCCCACTATGCTCGAAGGTCTTACGAGAGCCAAGCACAACTGCGTCATCTCAACCTTAAGATTTCGCACACTTGGTGGCATCGCTCCAAACTAGACGAAGCCGCCACGGATTCACGGATTGAGTACAGTACAAACGCCTTTTGGCCACGAGAGCAAAAGCGATGCGGCAGATGCTGAGCGCTGGCCTGGATCCGAGGGCTGAGGGCACCCACCAGCTCCAGCTTCTGCCCGCAGGAGTCGACGATCCAAACCTTCAGAGCTGCTCTGATCGGAATCGCTTCTGCGAGTCGTGCGCCTGTTCCCCTGTCCTCGTAGCTGTCGATGACGGAATCGTCCAGCGAGCACGAGGAGTTCGGGGCCCAGCGAATTTCGCCTCAAAGCGGCTTCAGGCTCAAGTTCTCAGCCACATGCAAAAGCCCTCTTCGCAAGAGCTTGCGCCACGGATTCGGCCTTGATCCATCTGATAGCCAATGCTTCCCCAATCCTGGAGGACACAGGGCGTTTTCTTTGGAGGCAACGTGGCACAAAGAGATGTGCTGCTTCCCGCATATGGGCATCTTTTTTGAGCTGGGGTCCCCGAATGGTACGGCATTACTTAAAAGGGCCCTAATTTGGAGAACCATCCACATGGAAAACAACCGAGACCCACCATGTGGCGTCCTGCAGACTTCATGCTTTGCGAAGGAGAGGAGAGTGAGTGGAAGGAGCTTTAGGACACTACTCCTTCCTTGCATCTCCAAAAAAGAGCCTTGACAGCAAGACTCCTGCGAAGCGATGGTGGCACAGACCCTGCAGGCCGGCGGCTCTGGGCCAGGGATCACCTGCAAAAAAGCGATCGCAGATGACACGAAGATGTCCGGCTCCTGGCCCGGCCCACACGCAGCCTCCACCTCTACTGGGCAGAGGAGCTCCTCAGCGCCGCCCTCGTCCTTAAGGGGCCAAGATGAGCGAAGCGATGAGATCCGCAAAGGCCCAGCACTTCCCTAATTACCCTGTTCAAAGGGTTACGAATCCTTGGGGAGCCTGCCGTGTTCAAGGTCTCCGACGCATGCTTCTGAAGTCCCTTCTCCACCTTGCAAAGACCCTCCGCTTACGGTGAAGGCCAGGGCGCGCCGTAGGCAGAAACGAAAGGGCGTTCAAAGTCGGGCTATGTCGGGTTGTCAGCCTGCAGCCCTCAGCCCAAACAGCCCTGTCTTCGATCTTTCCCAAAAGTCCCTCCCTCGTTTCTGCTCTTCTCCCTCGCAAGCAGCAGCCCGGAGCACTTCGCTTTAGGGAACGGCGGAGTCGGGAGGACACTTCGTGCCGAGACTCGCAGGCGGAGCCCTCCGCCTCCGAGGTTTCCAGGCCAGGGCCGTGCCCCAAAGGGTTCGTCGAGCTTCTCGCAAGGCACCTTATAGAAGAGGGCGGGCGCTGTCGGATGGGGGAGAGGCAAGAGAGGCTCGGTGTGCGCGTGTGCGCGAGTGTCTAAGTGTGTGTGTGTGTGTGTGTGCTTCTTAGGGTGTGGTGTTGGTTGGAGCTCCAGAGCTCTGTTGGCAAAAGCCTCAACTCGTAGTGTCCGCCTTCTGCAGTGCTCATGTGGTGCCTCGTAATTCCTTCTACAATCTTCTACAGGAGACTCCTTCTTGCGACCTCTGAACTGCATGCGGAGGAGCGTGTCGCCCGTCTGGCCGGCCTCAGAAAGCTAGGAGGCCGAACCCGTGGGCTAGGCCGCTCGGCCGCTGGACAGACACCAACCAAAAACCCTTAGCCAAGCAGCTTGGCAGACCGCCTGGAGGGAGAGGGCCAGAGGAAACTCGCATGAATCCGAACGCGCCGCAATGCCCCGCATGCCCTCTGCGCTGGGATGCGGGCCGCGACAGCCGCACTTGCCGGCACCACGGGGGCCACGAGCGGGAAAAGGGGGCCTGCAACGGCCTCGCCAGCGTGAAATGCTGCGGGCCCTCAAGCGCCCCTTTCTGGCATGACAGTGTAAGAAAAGATACTATAACTCGGCTTTTTCTAGGATGGCGGCCGAAAGAAGTTGCAGCTCTACTCATCCTTCGGAGTTCGAACTCGAACGGGCCTCAGGAGCTGCGAAAGATGCGTCGGCAGCACGAAGGGGCACTCCACCGAAGAAGAGCCGACCTCGGCTTTGGCTCGGCTTTGTCGCATCCTGGGAGCCCCACAGTCAAAAAGAATGTTACTATTATTATTATTATTGTTATTTTTTTTATTGTTATTCTTATTGATATTTTTATTGTTATTATTGTTATTAAGGCACCGAAATCGAAAGAGTGGCATTGAATCGAAGGCGTTGTGGTGCTGGTGGAGGAGCTGGAGGTGGAGGTCAAAGAAGTGCCAGTCCTCCCAAGGACTCTGTTTTCCACAGGCAAGCGTCTGCCTCAAAAGACATGCGAATACGATACCTCAAGATACATGATGACGTCTACCTACTTTGCCCCTAGCCCTAACCAAGCAGCAGCCCCACAATCCAGCGATAGAGGATCGACCCCCACACCACACGCGTACAGAGTTTGTCACTCCCACGTGCTCTTCGCCCCCAGTCGATAGTCCTTGTCTTAGTCGTCGTCGTGGAGGACATGCTTGTCGTCGAAGTCCTCGCGACAAACGGAAGAAGCAGTAGCTGCGTGCTTTGTCGAACATGCGCCCGCGAGAGCGACCTTGCAGATATATGATACTCGCACTTCTCTCTCCTGACGAGTTTGTGCTTGCGTCTACCTGTCCTGGTTATGGTGGTGCTGGATGATGTCGAAGTGGAAGTGGTTGACGTGGAGGTGGTCGTCATCGAAGTGCTTGTTGTACCTGTGATGCTGGTTGTAGTGCCGCTCGCAGTGCTGCTCGTGCTTGTGCGCGAAGATGTGCTCGTGCTGGAGATACTCGTTCTTGAGCTGCTAGTCGTCGTGGCGCTCGTGCTGCTTGAGCCGGTTGTGCTCCTCGTTGCACTGGTTGAGCTGCTGGTGATTGTGGTGGAGCTTGTCGTTGTTGTGCTGGACATGCTAGCGCTGGTGGTGCTCGAGCTTGTCGTGCTTGAGCTGGATGTGCTGGTGCTGGTTGTGCTCGAGCTGGATGTGCTGGTGCCGGTCGTGCTCGAGCTGGATGTGCTGGTACTGCTTGTGCTCGAAATTGTTGTGCTCGAGCTTGATGTCCTGGTGCTGATTGTGCTCGAGCGTGTTGTGCTCGAGCTGGATGTGCTGGTGCTGCTTGTGCTCGAGCTGGATGTGCCTGTGCTGCTGGTGCTCGAGCTGGTGCCGCTTGTGCTTGTGCTTGTTGTGCTCGAGCTGGTTGTACTCGAGCTGGTTTGGGTTGTGCTCGTCGTGCTGGAAGCGGTTGTGGTTGTGCTGGTTGTACTCGAGCTGGTTTGGGTTGAGCTTGTCGTAGTGGAGCTTGTCGTGCTCGTGCGTGTCGTGCTTATGCTTGTTGTGCTCGAGCTGGTGGAGCTTGAGCTCATGGAGCTCGAGCTCGTCGTGCTCGAGCTGCTTGTGCTCGTGCTTGTCATGCTTGTGCTGGTTGTGCTCGAGCTGGTGGAGCTTGAGCTCTGAGTGCTCGAACTGCTTGTGCTTGTTGTGCTAGAGCTGCTAGTGCTCGTGTTGGATGTGGTGGAGCTTGTTGTGGTTGAGCTGGTAGTGCGCGAGCTCGTGGTGCTCGAGCTTGTTTTGCTGGAACTCGATGTTGTACTTGTGCTTGAGCTTGTTGTGCTGGTGATGCTGGTGCTCGAGCTGATGGTAATTGTGAGTGTTGTTGTCGTGAACTCACTGGAGCTTGTCGTGCTTGAGCTGGATGTGCTGCTGCTGGTTGTGCTCGAGCTGGTCGTGCTGGCGCTGGTCGTGCTTGAGCTGGATGTGCTGGTGCTGCTTGTGCTCGAGCGTGTTGTGCTCGAGCTGGATGTGCTGGTGCTGCTTGTGCCCGAAATTGTTGTGCTCGAACTGGATGTGCTGGTGCTGCTTGTGCTCGAGCGTGTTATGCTTGAGCTGGATGTGCTGGTGCTGCTTGTGCTCGAGCTTGTTGCACTTGTGCTTGTTATGCTCAAGCTGCTTGTGCTGGTGCTTGTTTCGCTCGAGCTTGTTGTGCTCGAGCTGCTTGTGGCCGTGCTGGTTGTGCTCGAGCTGGTCTTGGTTGAGCTTGTCGTGCTCGAGCTTGTCACGCTCGAGCTTGTTGTGGTCGAGCTAGTTGTGCTGGAGCTGGTGGAGCTTGAACTTGTGGTGCTTGAGTTGGTGCTGCTCGAGCTGCTCGTGCTAGAACTCGTTGTGCTTGAGCTGCTTGTGCTCGAGCTTGTCTTGCTTGAGCTACTGGTGCTTGAACTGCTTGTGCTCGAGCTCGTGGTGCTCGAGCTCGTGGTGCTTGAGCTGGTCGTGCTCCTGCTGCTTGTGCTCGTGCTGCTTGTGCTCGTGCTGCTTGTGCTCGTGCTTGTCGTGCTCGAGCTAGTTGTGCTAGAGCTGCTGGAGCTTGAGCTCTTGGTGCTTGAGCTGGTGCTGCTCGAGCTGCTAGTGCTAGAGCTCGTTGTGCTTGAGCTGCTTGTGCTCGAGCTTGTCGTGCTTGAGCTGCTGGTGCTCGAACTGCTTGTGCTCGAGCTCGTGGTTATGGTGCTTGTTGTACTTGTGCTGGACGTGCTGCTGCTTGTTGTTTGGCTGGTTGTGGTCTGGGTGGTGCTGCTGGTAGTTCGGCTAGTGCTTGTGCTAGATGTTGTACTGCTTGTGCTGCTCGTCGAGCTACTTGAAGAAGTAGTGGTGCTGGTCTGACTTGTGCTGGTGGTACTCGAAGTTGTTCTTGTTGTACTCGTGCTTGTCGAAGTCGATGATGTAGTGCTTGATGTAGTCGAGCTTGTTGTTGTGGTCACGGTGGTAGCAGTGCTTGTTGTGTCTGTACTGGTGGTTCTTGTGCTTGTGGTCCACGTAATGCTGGTCCATGTACGGGTGGTCCACGTAATGGTGGTGTAGGTTGTGTCTGTGCTGCTGGTTATGGTCCTCGTTGTCCGTGTTGTAGTTGTTATTGTTGTGGTTGAGGTCGTGGTGCTGGTGGTACTTGTCGTTGATGATGTGGTTGATGACGAGGAGGTTGCCGTCGTGGACGTTGATGTACTGCAAGGACTACACATGTTCAGGACCTACGCTTGAAGTCAGAAATCGCCCGCTACTATAGACCGTGCGGTCACAACTCGATGCTCCCGGGTGGACCTGAACATGCATGTGTGCTGGCCTGGATGTTGATGTCGAGGAGCTCGATGTCGTGGAGCTGGTGCTGGTGCTGGTGCTCGTGGAAGAAGTTGTGCTGGTTGATGTGCTTGTGCTGGTCGTCGAGCTCGTTGATGTGCTTGTTGCGCTCGTGGAACTGGAAGTAGTTGTGCTAGAAGTGACAGATGTTGAGCTTGTAGAGGAAGAAGTCGCAGTAGTTGTGCTTGTTGTGGTGGTCGTCGTGGACGTGCTCGTGGTGGAGGTGCTCGTCGTGGAGGTGGTGCTCGTGGTCACGCTGGTACTGCTAGTGCTTGTTGTGGTGCTGGAGGAGCTGGTCGCCGTGCTGCTCGTGCTGGTCGATGTCGTGGAGCTGGATGTGGTTGAGGTAGTGCTTGATGTGGTCGTACTTGTTTTACTTGTCGAGGACGAGCTGCTTGTCGTCGTTGTTGAGCTCGTGGAGGTTGAGGTGCTGCAAGGGAATACATGCTACTGCGGCACTCTACACATGCTCAGGACCTACTCTTGAACTCAGCAGTCGCCGTACTACAGATCGTGTGGGGCACGGTGCTCCAGGCGCGGACCTCAACATGCATCTGTGCTGGCCTGGATGTTGATGTCGAGGAGCTCGCTGTCGTGGAGCTGGTGCTGGTGCTGGTGCTCGTGGTAGAAGTTGTGCTGGTTGATGTGCTTGTGGTGGTGGTCATGCTCGTTGATGTGCTTGTAGTGCTCGTGGAGCTGGAAATAGTTGTGCTAGAAGTGACAGATGTTGAGCTTGTGGTGGAAGAAGTCGCAGTAGTTGTTCTCGTTGTGGTGGTGGTCGTGGACGTGCTCGTGGTGGAGGTGGTGCTTGTGGTCACGCTGGTGCTGCGAGTGCTTGTTGTAGTGCTGGAGGATCCGGTTGTGGTGGAAGTTGAGCTCCTGACATCACAGCGGTGCACGGTTTGTAAGGTTCGCCTAGCAGTAACCTAGCCTACGACCATGTTCCTGGAGATACTGCTACTGGTGGTAGCTGAGCTTGATGTGGATGTGGAGGATGCACTTGAGGTGAACGACCTTCGTCGCTTCACATGGTCTCTCCCTTGCTTTGCAAGCCTCAAAAAGCCTCAACAGATTAGAAACTGCGCTTAGTCGTGATTAAACCCTTAACGGTGTCGAAGTGACGTGGTGCTCGAGATAGTGGTACTCGACACAGTAGCAGTGGCAGTCGCGCTGCTCGTCGTCCCGGTACTAGAAGACATAGTTACCGTCGTTGTCGTGCGTGTAGAAGTTGCCGTCGCCGTCACTGTTGAGGTTCTTGAAGATGTACTGCGAGTCGTCCTTGAAGATGTGGCGCTTGATGTTGTAGTGGTGGTCTGTGTCGTGGTTGTTGTCTCGCTGGTGGTGGTGCTCGTGCCTGTTGATGTGCTCGTGCGCGTTGTGACGGAGCTTGTGTAGGTGGAGCTGGTGGTGCTGTGAGTATGCGAAGTGGTGGTTGAAGTACCTGTCACAGTACTGAGTGTGCTGGTTTGGCTGCTGGTCGAAGTTTGCGTTGATGTTGTGGATCGGCTCGTTGTAGCGGTCGTACTTGTTGAAATGCTTGTCGATGTTGTCACGGTACTGGTAGAGCTGGTGCTGCTAGTTCGGGTCGAAGATTTGCTGCTGCTCGTAGTCGCGCTGGTGCTTGTGACTGTTCTTGTCAGAGTCGTGGATGTGCTGGTTTGGCTTGTGGTTGTGGTGGCCGTGCCGGTGGTCACGGTGGCACTGACAGAAGTCGTACTTGCGGTGCTGCTGTGGCTTCTTGTGGTGCTGGTGCTTGTCACAGTGCTCGACGTGGTGCTGCTTGTGAACGTTGAGCTGGTAGTGCTGGTCTGGGTGCTTGATGTCGTTGAGCTAGTGGTACTTGTCACTGTGGTGGCTGTGCTGGTTTGGCTGGTGGTCGAGGTTGTCGTCGAGGATGTGCCGCTTGTGGTCGTGCTTGTCAGAGTCGTTCTACTTGTCACTGTCTTTGACAGCGTCGTGGATGTGCTGGTCTGGCTTGTGGTCGTGGCGGTTATGCTGGTGCTCGCGGTCGCACTTGTCGTGTGGCTTGTCGTCATTGTAGCAGTTGAAGTGTCGCTGCGACTTGTTGTGCCGCTGGTGCTGGCCGTTGTGCTACTTGTTCCTGTTCTCGACGTGGTAATACTTGCGCTGGTCGAGCTGGTTGTTTTCGTCGCGGTGCTGGTACTCGTCTTGCTGACGGTACTGGTCGCGGTGATCGTCTTGCTGGTTGTTCTCGTTGTTGCTGTTGCGGTGCTTGATGTGGTGGTCAACGTACTCACCGTAAATGTACGCGTGGTAGTTGAAGTGCTTCTCGTGAGTGATGTGGTCACCTCGCTGGCCCGGTGTGCCCTTTGCATTTGGGTTTCTCTGTTTCTCTTGCCGAGTCACGGTAGCAGTTGTCGATGAAGTTGCGGAAGAGCTGCTGGTTGTGGATGTATCGGTGCTTGTCCTCTCACGGCCGCAATGTTGCAACCACCATGAAGTCATTCGTCGGTCACTTCCGAGGTGTGCCACCCGTTCCCTAGACAGCCTTGCAACCACCTCCACTTCTCCTTGTGCGGCTCGATGTCTGGGAAGTGGATGTGGCTGTGGAACTTGTGCTCGTCAAGGACGAAGCAGTACCTTCCCGAGATCTCTGTGTCGCAACTCGCTACGTTGCTCAAGGTCGCAGCATGCAAAAGCGCGGTCAAACACGTATCGGCTCCAGGTCACGCGTTGTCGAAGTCGTGCTCGTTGTGGTCGAACCTCGTCTGCCCGCGAGCCGTTTGGTTGCCACTCCAAGCTCCTATGTCCTAAGCCTTTGTGGATGCTTAGATCGGCAAGCCCCGGGAAACCTCCTGGTTCCGGAAGTGCGACTGAAAATGTTGAGGCTCATCTTCTCATGAACACTGCAAGACGATTCAAGAAGTGGCCAGCGCTTGCGAGACACATTCGCTGAGTGGTGCATCACGTACCAGCACACCACCATCGAATAAGCAATCGCGAGAAAGACTGACCTGCAGGCCACCGAGCCGGAAAGGGGGACAGGACATTTCGCGCTTGGTTTTGGCCCTAGGTCTGCGGAACGGTGGGCTGAAGCCAAGAGACGTATGTGCAGTGGTCGTCGAAAGCAGTTGCCAGGACAAACGCGAGCAAGATGAGCTTTCCTGACAGCGAGTCGCAGGCTGCTAAACTTGAGGCTGGTGACTTCTTGTCTGTCACTGCCCTGTTAATTAGTCTGTTGTCTCACCTCTGAGCTTCGGCTGCTTCGGCTTCAAGTCCTTTAAACCCGCTCCCCACGACAAGTTTATTTAAGCCCCGACATCTTCGCGCTCTGGATATGGCTGTAGACACGACTTGGGGCTTGGAGCGGCAACGAATCCCCCTCGCTGCGCCTTGGGAAGTCATCGTGCGCGCTCGCTGTGACGGCGTTGCCCCATCTTTGAACTACGCTGCTCCGACCTACTTCGTGGATAGTGTCTGATCTGCTGCATTGATGCCCTTTCCATGAAGCTGGCCAGCTTTGGGCCCGGATTCCTCTTGGGCCTCAGCAGGAGGACATACGTATTTCTCCATGTGTCAAGAGATTTCCGTGGGGAAATCACCTCCATAGAGCTAACCTTCAGCATGCAGAATTACCAGAACCCCAGAAAACAGCCGCATGGTTGCGGTTTTTCCGCTCTTGGTGTTGGAGTCGGGCATGAGATGCCGCGGTCCAGACTGGGACTTCGGCCTCCTTGCCGGCGCCAGGAGCGCACGAGTGACCGCACTTGAAAGTGTTGGAGACGGAAACTCGGACGTATCTTGTTGAGCAACACTTACAGTCCCTTGCAGTGTATTGCAGCAGGCTGTTTTTGCGAGCACACCATGGTCTTTGAGTTGCCGTTTATGCAGCACACTCGTGTTGCCTGACAAAGTGAAACTGACGCGATTTAGGGCGCAGGCCACGTTTCCGGCAATCAAACTCGGAAAGGCTCAGACATAGTCTGCCATGACTGTGCAGGGGCCTGTGGCCTTGCAAGCCCTGCCAGAAGTGCACTCAAGATAGGGGCGCGCTCCTGAGTGCTGCCCGCCTCTGTCACCAAGATGCAAGCGGCATTGCAAGCATCAGCACTGCTTATTCCAACAATTCTCTAGATCTGCTGGTTGAAGCTGCAAAGAACCGAGATGCTGCCTTACAGGAGTTGGAGAATCGGGGCGAAGGGCGCTTTCCGCAGCGAATCCAGCAGTGCCAAGGCAAGGCTTCTTCCATGATTGCTTGCACGAATGCTGTCACGAGCTGCAGGCTTCGGCTTGTAAGCCGTCACAGACGGAGCGGAACGATCTCCTGCAAGAGCATACAGCATGGCATCGTTGTTAGTGGCACAAAGCTGGTTTTGCTGCATTTCAGCAACAGAGTCGAAGAGACGGACCAAGGCCAGATCCGGGGGGCCCAGATCGATCAGGGTCTAGGACTGGCCAATTCCTCGAGTAAGCCCTACGATTGCTGCCCCATTTTGGAGCATTCAGGCTCTGAACATGGCAATTGGTGAAATCTTCAACACGCGGGGGAATCACTATTTTGGGATTCGTTCTGTGGCAACGGCAAAAATTATAGATTCTCGCCCGTCACCCCCGCTTACTGGAGGGAGACCTTGTTTCGAACATTCCTGCATGCCCTCCCCAAACAAGCGCGGGGATCACCATTTTGGTAGACTTGATTGTTAAAATTTGCCAAAATGGCAACACTGACAGGTTTGTACGAGCGGCGGCTTAGAGCGGGATCGCTGCAGTCTCTAAACAGTTGCCACCAGAGATCATTGCACCCAGCCTAAGAAAGCCCTCATGCAACTCCTGCGCTCGGGGTAAGGTCCACGCAGCAGAGCCCCAGCGATCCTAGGCTCCCTGCCAGGAAGTCACAGTGCCCGAGAAGTTCATGTCAGGGCACAGGGAAATGACATGCTTTCTGAAAGCAACTGACTAATGTTATCTCGCCTGTTCTAAAAGGTGCCGGAAACGCGGAAACCACACTGAAACCCTGGGCCCTAGGCCCTGGGCTCCTGGACACTCGGCCCATCTCTCAAGAAGTTGTATGTCGCAGCTCCAGCGTCTGCCAGAGGCCTGGAAGGTGCGTGTCACAAGCTCGCATCCGCGGTGTCTTCTTCGCCTCAGTCCAGAGGTCTGCATGGAGCCCCAACTAAGGCGCACTGCACTCGTGGCGGCGCGGCCCCGTGCCAAAGACTTGACGCACTCTTTGCCCGCAGGTGCCAGGTCTGTACAGGGCCCAGGAGCGGCCATTTCCATTTCCCATGCGCTGCGCCGCTGCGCGATCGCCGCTACGGCCTAGTAGGGTCAAAGGGCAGGGCCTAGTAGGGCCTGCCAGGGCCAAATCGCTTGATTTTGACCTCATCCTCAACTTGATCCACCATGCAGTACATGAACAGGGGACTTCCCTGGCTCTCCGGCAAGGGGCATTCCAGAGACTCGGTGGATCCCACGAACTTGCTGTTGCAGTAGAACTCGCAGAGGCGACTCTCTGGATCGCAGTAGACCGCCACAAGGTCGCCCTCCTGGACACCAGGGTGGCCCGCCAGGCCCTCGCCGGAAGGACTCAGCTTCTGCCCGCCGAACAAAAAGACGGGCATGGTCTGCTTCTTGGAGAAGATCCAGGTACTCTTGGTGCTGAGATTCCCGAAGCCCGAGACCTTCTCCATGGAACTTCTGTCGTACGTCACGCCGAAGGAGATCTCATCTCGGCTCCGGATCACCTCAAACTCGCAAAAGCAGGGCTCCAGGATTTTGTGGCGCAGGAAGACGTTGTTGGAGTCCGGCGCCCCCGACGTCTTCTTGAGCCTGGAGACGGGATCTTTAAGATCGATGCCTTTGTGCAGGCTCTTCTCAAAGATGCCAAGGTCCAGGAGAGGGTCGAACTTCAGAAGCTGCAGCTCCAGCGTCTCTTCGCCAGGAGGAAGGAGCTGAAGGAAGCTCTCCACAGTTCTCTCTTCATCCATCCGCTCGCCCTTGCAGAGCAGGCGAAAGCTGACAGGATCCAGTTGCCAGGTCTTGGCCACGGCATCTTTGATGCCTCTCCCGGTCTCTGTTCCTGGAAGCTCCAGCTGCAAGGAGCGTCCAACAAGGTCGCAGACACAGACTTTCGACATGGCTGCTACAGTGTTGGCCGCTACGACGCTACAAGCGTCTCCCTGGACTCCTAGTGGCGCTGCGAGCTAAGCCACGGCAAAAGCAGCTCAGCACCCGACACCATCCCTCCTAGCACTCCGAAACAGCGGCCCTTGGACCTTGTCAGCACGGGCGGCACGGAGTACTGGGCTGCTGCGGATTGTCGGACCTTGGAGATTCGGACTGTTCACCCTAGCGTTGCTTTAAGAGTTAAACCCAACACCCACTGGTCTGTGCACACCGGGCATAGGGCCGCCCAGGACCTTGCATCACAGCACCAGCATAGCTGACGGCCGCTGCCTGCAACGTTTCATCCGCCAATTTGAGTGCAAGCTAAGGTTCAATGCTGTCAGATTGCGTGTTCCCTGCACCCCGTTCAACCCCGTCGCTCCCCGTCACCGGTGGGCTGGCCTTGCTGCTGACGGGTCTCACGGGTCGGCGCTGCATGTCTTGCATCTGCAACGACTGGACTCTACTATCCCCCCGAGCGGAAGCGCCCTGCCGGGGTCTCTGTGGTATGCACTACACGGCTCCCCTTGCCATAGACGGTCAGCTCGTATGCCGTGTGCAGGACAGGGCATCTTCGTGGATTTTCGCAGCTCGGCAGCGCTCTGCGCTGGAACGGCCCTACGCTTGAGCCAAGGAACTTCCAAAGTCCCAAAAGCCTCCCAAACTCCACCCTGCGACATGCAGAAGGCGCGCGCAGACTTCGAGGATCCAGCTCCGCGCTTCCAAGCAGAGAGCTGGGTCACGGAAGACAAAAGGGAGCACGCCCTCTTGGGAGGGCTAGTGCTGTTTTTTTTCGGATCACCTGGAAACTGTCTCCCGTGCATCTTGCAGTGAAGAGTTCCGGAAAGCAAGGCCCCAAGGCTGCAAAGGCCACCGTTGCCCGCAGGATTCCCTCTCCGGCTGAATCTCACCGCTGAGTTCGATAACCTGAAGAAGCTTGTTGCCACAGCCTCCACAGCCTTCAGCTCTGTGGATTTCCAGAGAAGGGAGTCGTTGAAAGGCTCGGAAAACAGCTCCGCTGTCCTTCTTGCTCTCGCTCAACACCGCCAGCAGCGAGCCCGAGCCCTCACCAACCGCCCGGGTCATCGGGTCATGGTGGTACTTTCCCAGAGCCCCAAGTGGTGCTCCAGCTTTCCACGTTCGAAGTCTTTGCTGCCAGCTGCTTAGAAGGGCAGCTGGGCCCTTAACATGGTCCCTTACCTCCTCTAGAGGGTTCTGAAGGGGCCCCTGGGTTGTCACAGTCACATGTGGCTCCCGCAGCTTTCTACTCACCGCGGCTTCTGCACAGAGATAGCTTGCGCAGCTTATTCGACAATCGCAGCTTCTGCACAAAGATAGCTGGCTTCTGAAGATTCTTTCCTGTCGCTTCTGCACACAGGTGAAGCTTCTCGACCCGGTTGAACAACTTCTTCAGATTCAGCTCCCACATGATCTTGAGCTTGCCATCAATCATGTCCTTCTCAGTCGGGAGCTGGAGCTCCTCAAGCAGCATCTTGACCGTCGTTTCATCCACAGGCACCATCTGCTTCTCCATCTGGCAGACGAGGAGGTAGGCCACACAGAGACGGAAGGGAGCTGCCTTTGGGATCGCCTCCTGGTGTGCATCGGGGTCGCTGAAAGTGAGCTTCAGGAGCTTGGTTCGGTCTTCGTCGCTGCACGGCTTTGAGAGCGCGAGGGCCGCAATCTTGAAGATGCCGCTCGCCTGCAAGTCCAACCTCTGCGCGATCTTCGCAAGGGTCTTGAAGTCAACGACTGCATCCTCAGCAATGAACCCTGCTTGGCCTCATCTTGGGAGATCTGGCTCCAAAAGCGGACAGAAAACGCCCACCTCGCTGGGAGTCTCGGGATCAGCTTCTCCTGAAAGAGCGTGTCCGCATTCCACTGGAACTCCTTCTCCAAGAGGTTCAAGATCGCATCCGCGCCATTGGCTGTGTCAGGCACATGGAGCAGCTTTGCACGAGACATCGCCCGAGCGCAGCGGTGTCCATGAAACACTCTGCCAAGCCCTCGTTGGAGCTGATGAGGATCGCCGGGTGCTTCTCGCCGAATGACCGCAGCGACTCCAGCCCGAGCCCTGCTGAGGTGACATTCACGATTCCATGCTCTCGGTGTCTCCATGCGTCAACGGTGATGTCGTCGAAGATGAAGAACTTCGGGCGAGACCTGCGAACGAGGAAGGTGGCCACAAACGCAAAGATGCCACACAACACTGTCTCCTGGCTTGGGACATTGGCTTGCATGCGGCGCGACACATTCTGCAAGAAGTTCTCGTTTGAGGTGTTTGTGTACTGGTCCTCAGACTGAACCTCATCGTCCTCAGACTTCTCCTCTTTGTGCAACTTCACAACACACGCCACGCCTGCCACCAGAACAGGAGCCAACAAGTCCCAGATCAGCTTGCCGAGACTCTTCTTGAACACCGCCTCGAGTGGGTATCGTTCCGTCGCTTCGAGTATGCGCCACTTCTTCTCATCGATGTACGTGTAGTCGACCAAGATGGACGGACGGCGCACGAAACGGAGGGCTGTGAGCGTCTTGCGGTTGCCTCGAGGGCCGGTCATCACTGTGAGCCTCTTCGGTTCGAAGGCGTACTTCAAGTACTTCTCCTGCGAGGAGAGCCTGAACGGCAGCCAAGCCAGTTCAAACCGCTCCATTGCCCCCATCACACGTGGAAGAAGATGTGCCCGCCATCTGTGGAAGCATTTCCTCACGCGGAGTGCGAAGGTACGGAGGTGAGGCATTGCTCAATTCACATTGTCGTCTAAGTGTCGATTTGGGCCTGAGTACAACCTTCGCGCGCACATATGGCAGAAGACCTGACGCGCGCTACACAGAAGGCAGTTCGATGATGACAACCTGGTTTTTTAGAGAATGAGGGATGATAAACCTTTGGTCAAGGGTTTTGTGAAAGGCTTTGCTAACATATGTTGGGTTAGGGAGTTAGGGGGTTAGGAAAACATGGACTACATAACTGATTTGTTCATGGCTTGGGTTTTGATTTGGGGGTGATTTTTCAAGGGGTGTTTGCCAGGGGTTGGTGGATGGGTTGGGTGGGGTTTGCGTACAATTCAAATTCGCGTTTTGCTTTCTTCGTCGAGGGAGGGGGAGGAGGTAGGGGGGTGGCGGTGGGGAGGAGTCGAGTGGGGGGGGAGGGAGGAGGGTAGTGGGAGGGAGGAGGGGAGCCTTAGCGCATCGTCCTGGAGCTCTTCCACCACAGAGCGCAGTGACATCCAAGAGCTTATCCATATCCCCAACGTCGTAGCCCTCAGCACCCTCCTCCTCGGTTCGAAGAATTCAATTCGGGAGATGAACAACAGCTTGGGCCCGGCTCTCTTCGCTTTGGGAGAAAAGGACGCTTAATTAACTAAGGCCTTACTCAGGGTTTGTGCTAAACAAACACGTACTCACAAGGGTGGAGAAAGTTGCTGCCCAAAGGGAGAAAAACAAAAGGACCCCTAGCAATTTGCGATGACACTTCAGAGCAACCAATTTGGCTATTTTGCCGCAAGCTCGGCCGATTCCGATTCCCTCCCCCCCAAAAAATATTTACTTCGGGCATCACCACCCTGAAAACATTGAGCTGTTTGCGGAAGAAAGAAGAGATCGGAAATACTGCGCATGCTATATAACATCAACGAGTAAATCGCCCAAAGTGCTGTAAGAAACGGAATACTATATTCAACTAAATATCACAAAACAAAATCGGACATGCTTTGAATTACTACTAAATGAAGGCTTAGATATTGTCCACTGGAGGGACAGGCTTCTGCACCTCCTTCTCGTCTTCCTGTGCAACCACAGCATGCGGATACTGCGACTTGATGCATCTCATGATGATCAGCTGTGCTCGAAAATCAGCGCGGGTGACCACTTCAGACGCTCCTGCAGCATCCAATTCACCAGCACAGCTCGCGGTTGCACGGGTCCTCGTCCTTCGCAGTGACAGAAGCCTTGACACCTCCAGGCAGCGCCTCTTCCGGCTAAACGGGCGTGTTCTTCTCTTTGTGTGGCCCCTGCCATCTGGGCAGCGGTGCAGCAAACCAGGAGCTCACGAACTGACACGTGCGAGTGCCCGTGTGTCTCTCCATGAAATCTTCCTTTGCATGAGACATCCCTTTTGCGGGGGATTGCTCCTGAATCCAAAACGAAGTGAGGCGCATAAATGACAGTGGTGGACAAATCATGCAACCTGTGCACAAGCCCACAGCCAAAGCTTGGCATTTTCCAACCTGTCGGCGAGGTGAAAGGCTTGTTGACACTTAGTTGACGTCGACGGCAGCAGTTCCACTTCGGTTTCGTTGATGTCCAACTGGAGTCATGTTTGTACGCTGCCGCCATCAGCGCCGATGGCCATGAGCCGAGTGCCTTAGGTGCTACAAACAGCCTCGACTGTCTGCTGACAGCTCAAGCTTGAGTCCGACAGCGGAACGAAGGAAGCGCGAGTTTTGGGGAGGCAGTCGGAAGCGAGGCAGCAGTGGCGCATGTTTTGGGAGATGTTTTCACCGGCTTCGGGGCTGGATCGACGCTGGTGGGGACCCGGCACAATCTGTCAAAACCGAGGAGAGAAATCCTCGCTCGCGGCTTGCGCGCCGCTTGCGCGCGTTGCAACGCGGGCGCGAAAGGGCCTACCCCGCCCGCACTTCAAAAAAACGCCCTCTCGGCCGAAGTTTTCGGCCGTCTGCATTGGAGCTCGGCTCGGCCCTTTTTTGAAAGCTCTCCTAAAGTTTGAGCTAAGTCGAGCAGCTAAGCAGCGAGCTCCCTGGCAAGGGGGCATCTAAGTCTATGGCTATGGCCGGCTCAGTCAAGGACTGGATAATTCTGAATCAATGCAAACATGAAGGCGGCGGTCATGGCAATGGTTGGCAAGACGAACTCGCGGCCGTAATTGTCCGTGACGGTCTCGCCATCCGTCACGGAGTGACCAGAAGAAGTGCCGGGGCCCCGCAGCTTGGAGGTCTTCACCTTGCTCATGGTGACCTCTTTCCTCCTCTTTGCAAGGAGCTGCTCGATTTTTCTCTCCTTCTCCATCCGGACCTTGAAATCCGGATCGGCACCGAAAGCCTCCTTCACGAAGCCCACCATGCCCAAGCCGTTGTTCACGACACCGTCGGCGAAGGACTTGGGCGAGAAGAAGGCGGCTTTCTCCGCCGTCTTGTGTGCATCCGACACCGGGCGCACACGAACATCGAAGCTCTTGCCGGGCTCTTGCGGAGGGATCTTCGTCTGGCAGGCGGAAACCCACTTGCCATCGATGTTCACAGCACAGGTCTTGCACTGACCCTTCTTGCACTTGTAGCGGATGAAGACATCTGCCTGGCTCGCCACTTCGCTCAAAGGCTGGCCGACCCTTGCCATGGTCATCACATTCTGCGGCTGGAAGACCACCGGCGTGTCACCGAGCTGCTCGTGCCCCGGAATCATGCTTGGGGGCTCTTGCGGAACTGGAGCGAGCTCCTCCAGCTCCGGCATCACGGCCTCCATCTCAGACTCCTCGCTCTCCTCCGAAGAGGCCTCCGCATCCGCCTCGCTCGTCAAGACGAGGTCCTCGGGCACCAAACCGGCGGTGCGGAGCAGGTCCCTTTCCAGCTCCTCGGGGTCCGTGGGCGTCTTGTCCAAAGCCGACAGCATCTTCTCCAGGCTTCGTCGCCTCTCCTCCTTGGGCAACGTCTTGTTCGCCACGATCTTGGCACCCGCCCCCTCCCGAGAGGCCTTCATGCGTGCACGCTCCTCCATGATGCCCAGAAGCGAGGTGGCAGCACCCACAACCTTCAAGGTGGGACAAGGAGACTTGGCCTGGTAAGCCGCAGGCCATTCAGCTCCCGTAACCTCGTTGCTGGTCTGCCAAAGCTTCTGGACCAAATCCTTATTCAAGACCTTGTCACTCTGATCATTCTCGAAAATCGACTCCCAGCCGCCTCCAGCGCCCCCAGCCCCAACGATTTGACCTCCCTTCTCCATGGCTTCCATCCCCCGTCCCTCGCGAGGTCCACCGTTCCAGGACCAGTAGACTCCACTCTTCGTGCACTTTGGGTCGTGCAGGACCTGGAACAGCCTAGTCCCGGCCTCCTCCTCTCCCACGAAGCCTCCGGTGATGTACTTCATGAAGATCGGGAAATACTTCCGGAACCAAGGCCTCTTCTCCCTAAAGAGGGGCGATTCGGCGATGCAGCCGGGGTAGATGGAGCTGAAGGCAATGCCCGTGGAGCGATGGAAGCGCTCGTGGAGCATGTTCGAGGTCATCATCAGAGCCAACTTGGTGTCCTTGTACATCTTGGCACCGTTGAAGTTGTAGCCGTCCATCATGGCGATGGGCTTCTTACATCCGAGCTCCAGGCCATCCAACTCTTTCAAGTCTGCAATGGGGTAGACTCCACCGCCTCCAACCGTGTTGTCGTTGCCCGTCACTGATCCGATCATGACCACCCGGGCATCGCTGGAGTCGGTCATCATGGGCATGATCTTCGAAGTGAGCAGGAAGTGGCTGAGGTAGTTGATCTGAAGCTGCTGCTCGTGGCCGTCCACGGTCCACTTGGGATATGCGAGTGTTGGCTGATAGACGGCGGCGTTACAAACGAGCCTGTCGATGGGCCGATCTCCACGGAACTTCTCCAGCTCCTCGGTGAACTTCTTCACGCTCTCAAAGCTCGCCAAGTCCAACTCCATGGCCGTGAACCGCTCCATGTCGAAGCCCTCCAGGTCGGCCACCAGCTTCATCTTCTCCAGGTCCTGCGACTGCCGAGAGGGGGCGCAGAGGCAGAGGCAGAGGCAGACTCTGCAAGCAGACCTGCAGAGAAGACAGCAGCGCGCGCAAGACACAAGCAGCGCGTGCGCGGCGCGGAGCGGCGTGCGCAAGAAAAGCAGCGCGTGCGCGTCGGCATGCCGGTCCCGGACGGCTCCGATGACGTGGTAGTCCTCGGCCTGAAGGAGAGCCTTCGTCGTGTGCTTGCCGAGGCCCGAAGACGTCCCGGTGATCACCACCAGCCTCGGCTGTGAGGCGCGCGGGTTCGGCTACGGCAAGCTCTAGCAGGTCTCAGCTCTTGCTTTTTTTGTCACACATATAGAGAAGAAGTACAAAAGATCCCCTTTTGTTTGGACGAAGGCGAAGGGCTTCTTGTCTCCGAACTTGGAGCCCTTCTGCATCCTGCTGAAAGAAGGGGCTTTGATGTTGGCCATCCATTTCCAGGCCTCGACCTGGGCGGCCTGGAGGATGAAAAGCAGTGCGAAACGGAGCACCAGCATGTCAAAAGCTTGAAACGCTAAGTCGAAACAGGGCGAAACGAAGGCCAGCTTAGCTTAGCTTCACACGGGGCCTAAATGGCTGCAAGATACCCACTCCAGCTGGACTCCAGACTCCAGCCCTCCCAGTCTATGCAGGGCGAAGCGGGCATTTGAGGACGGCGTCTCCTCTTTTCCGCCAGTGACCGCACTTCAGGGCCTGCGGCGGCCGCCCGCTGCATCCGCCTCCGCTTGCAACTCCTCTGGCTCCTCCTCCAGCTCACTGCTCCCCGCAGAGGGCCTCAGCAAAGAGCGGAGCTATGCGAAGCTTCAGAGTGGCGGCGAGTGAGGCACTGAGGAGCCGTCCCGGAGACAGCCTTGGCTGTGGCCTCGGCTTTCTGCAAGCGCAAATGGCAAAGAACCCCTGCTTCCCGCACCAGCCTGAAGGCTATCCGGATCTCGACCTCTCTGCGACACCTTCCACCCAGAGATGCGGGCGTGTTGTGGTTTCATAAGGGCCAACAGCCGGGCCCCCCCTTTTCCCCCCAGCCCCCCCCAGGCCTCGGCCTCTCCAGAGCTTCCAGGGCTTGCTCCGTCCTCTGCCTCAAGCGGCGGCTCTGGCGCCGGGATCTCCTCACCACTGGAAGCCCCCACCCTCCCATGCTCCGTCCCCTAAAAGAACTTCCCATCTCTTGCTCCCTTTCGTGGACCCAAGCCCGAGACTTACAGCGTGTTGGCACAAACCCTGCAATGTGCAAGACGCTTCGTATCAACAGTCTAGCCACAGGACATTGCCATCCTCCTTACTTTTCCGAGTGACACGCGTTTAAAGCCTAGTAGTATCTGTAGTCAAGGCTGTGTTGTATTGTGGAATATTGTGGAAGCTGGGCGCTTACGCCACCCGTGGGCGCCTCCTGGCTGGAGCGCGGCAAATCCCGGTCGCTGAGATCCCGCCGGGAACGTCGGCTCAGTGCCTTGGCCACCTCTGCAGGCACGCGATGGTTGGGGGGGGGGCTTTTGGGGGAAACTGCAATTGTATAGTGTTCGGGTCGGATGGCAGGCTCGAGCAGGCAGAATTGGACCTCCTCCTCCTCCCCTCCGACCCAAGATCATCAAAATCGTTCATCATCATCCATGTCGTCGTCGATATGATGTGGCCCTAATGCTCCAAACTTCAGTTTGGCTTCACGGTTACTGCTGCGTCTTGGGGATGCACGCGCCGCACTGTCCAGCTACATCAGCATCGACTTCGCCGGCCAAGAGCATCACTATGGCCACAAACAAGAGCGCAGCTGCACTCATGCAACATGCTGTGCAGCCCCTCCGCCTGCGAGGGTAGGGAATTCTGGCACTACTGGAGGCCTCTTCGCGGAAGTCGCCACGGGGCTTGTTGAGGAGGACCCTCCTGAGTCAGCAGCACCCTTCAGTATACTTGTACTTAAGACTAAGACGATCACTACACCCGGTACCCTGGGGCCCTCGCGCTTGGCGCCAGACTACAAGGAAGCCCAAGAAGGCACTCAGCAGCAGAAGCCTCGTCGTACGACGAAAACACGAGCAGAGAGAGGCGCTGCGATGAGCCGCAGAGCCGCAGCCGCTCGGCCCCTGACAGGGCCAGCGTGGAGGGAGCCATGCGGTGCCTTGCGCAAGAGAGGAAGCAGCCCAGGGAGGATCTTTTTGGGGCCGTCCCTTAGAGCGTCGAGCTCTGAGAAGCTGACGGCACCGACGTCGACGTCGGCGTCGGCTGCGCTTTGTGCGGCGTCGGTTGCGGCGCGTTGGGCGTTTGGTGCTTCGTGCGTGTCGGCCTTTTCTTGCCGCTCTCTGGCGCTACGGAAGTCGCTTGCAAGGGCACCGGCGCCGGAACGAAGCTTTTGCTAGAGAAGGCGAGCAAGCCTGGAAAGCCTGGAAAGCCCGGTGGCGGTGTCAGCGTGTTCGCGGACACGAAAGTGGAGGCAGGGGTGGGTGCTGGAGCACCAAACTCGCCCTCCTCCTCAAGTGTCGCCACCGCAGGCGTAGCCGCAAAGGAGACAAGATCCTAAGGCTGGCTGCTACCACGTCTGCTGAGGCTGTCCCGAAACCCTCTGAGGATTGGGCCCTCCTCCCGGACCTTGCGGTGACACTGGCCTGAACCTGTCGACGCCAGGATCAGAGATGATCCGTGCATTTTTCTTTGCTTGCGGCCTGCCGGCCACGCTGCCTGCAGTGCCAAGACATGCGGAGTCCGAGTGTGCAAAGTCCTACAGTAACTTCCGACTAGTGAGAGTCCGTGCCTGCCCGCATGTCCACGGCTGAGGTCGCCAGCAGCACTGACTACGGCCTGGGTACGTAAGCCCGAGATCAAGCAGCCGTTGCAAAGCAGAGCACGCTTTCCTCGTAGCCGTGCCAGCCGTGCCCATGCCGCCGGACCAACGCGCCATCTGATGGCAGCTCATGGAGACGAAGCACGAGGAATGCGCATGTTGGCGAGGCCCTGGGGGCTGGCCTAGGGTCGACTCCTCGACTGCCTCCGAAAGAAAGGAAAGAAAGGACAGAGGGAAGGCTGATGGAGGCTGAATTAGCAGCGTTGCAAGGCCCGCACCTGCGCCAAGACCAGAAGCAAGCAGCCGAGGTACCTCCGGAAGCTGTTCTGGTCATACATAAGTATGTCGCATGCGTTATAACATGAGATGATATCCCGCTTTTACGTTGCAGTATAATTGAGCCATTCTGAGGGCTCTAATTTCCGCCGCCCTCCCTGTGGCCCTGCCGTGACATCGATCATCGATCCATCGTTCCCAGCGCGGCTTTCTACACATGGAAGGCCTAGACAAGTCTTTTGAGATGGAAAAGCGGACCGGCCGCGCAAGACCTCTCTGTGGCGAGCAAAGGCAAAGGCAAAACGCTTAAAGCAGCTCGAAGCTTTTGGAGCGTGCGGGGCGTCACCAGCCGAAGGGTCGGGTCCAGGCGCCCTCACTCCCCGGGTAGCCTCGGCCATCGTCAGACACGAGGCGCCTTCATGTCGTGATGCCGCGAGATGCCGCACAGGCGCAAGTGCCGCAAGGCGCTGTTTCTTTGCGTCGACGCTGACTCGCTGAGTTCCGCAGAAAGACCACATTGCTGCACGCGAAGATCGAAGGACCAAGAGCATGGAAGCTTCCTGAAGAGCCTCGCGTTAGAGGAATGTGGAGATAGGGCTCTGGAGCCCTTTGCAAACACAGCACAGAGCCAATTGCTCGGTGGCTGAAATGTCGAATTGATGGTGAGACGAGCCATTTGCCAACTGGTCCCTTTGCAATGGAGGCCTTCACCGCCTTTCAAAGCGGATCCAGTTGAGGCTCCCATGGACTATGTATGGCAGCGTTTGCCTTTTCACGCACAACGCAGAGACTCTCAAAGAGTGCAAACAGCAACTCGAGCTTCGGCCCGAGCTGCAAAAAAGGCAGATCGGAGGCGGAGGGGAGTGGGACTCCGAGAGCTGACTGGCAGGTCTCAGGCGCTCTGCACACTGGGCCTCAGCCTCGTCTCCCCCGCCGAGCGCGCGTGCTGGGCCTCGCACCCCGGAGGCCCCGGAGGCCAGGAAGGCTCCGCTTCAGCCGATGATGACCCGTGAAGAAACATGACAAAGGGCCTGAAGAAGGATGCGGAAGGTCTGGCAGATGTTCGCCACGCCCACGTTGGGTCCCACCTGCACCAAAAACGCGAGAGGAGAGGAGAGGAGAGGGGCGACGAGAAGCGCACGAGGAGCGGGAGAGCACCGAGGCGAGGGCAACGACGGCCTCGGGGGAAGCTGGGGCGGAGGAGCCCGCGCCCGCAGTCTCCGCCTGGCCCTGGCCCTGGCCCTGTTCTCTCTCCTGACAGCGGAGAACGCAGCGGAAGAAGCTTCACAGGAGACAGGACTCCACAGGTCTCTCTCTTCATATTGGGCCCTTATAAGTAGCCTCGGCCACGAGCTTGGAGCTTGGACCTGAGTTTGAGAGCAAACTTCTCTCCTTCCCATGCCTGGCCTGCGGGCCTACGGCACACAGCGGCAAGGGCGCAGACTCAAAAGCTTCCTGCGTGCCTCAGACGTGTCATGCTCGTGTCATGGTGGCCTCTGATTCACGCGAAGCAGACTGACGACACCCCCCCCCTCCCCCCACAAAAAAAATCAGGAGCTGGCTTCCGCATAGTCTCTGTTGAAGCTGCTTGGGGTGCTGTCTGCCCAGCGCACCTGAGAGACATTACAGCCAACGGCCAAAGCCCTGCGTGCCTGGGGCTCTCCTGGGGCTCCTGGCCCAAAACTCGTGGGAGTCTTGGCGCCTTTTCTCGACCTCTGATGGGCAAACAGGCCCTTCCCCGGGCCCTAGAGCTCTTCTCCGCTTCTTCCTGTCTCTGTCTCGTCGCGGCCTCGGCGAGGAAGTCGTCCACCAGAGCTCCCTCACGCGAAGAGTGAAGCTGCGAAGCTGCATCGCCGCTGCATCGCCTCTCGCCTCTCACGGTCCTGAGCCCTGCATGGGGCTCCGGCCTTGCCGCGCGGGCTTCCGAGGTAGTAGGAGCAAAAGAGCCTCCTTTGTGCCAAGCTCGGGTAGAGCCTGAAACAAAAGCAGAGCTGGCGGCGCAGCAGTTGGCTTCAGGAGATGTCCAGCCAAAGGAGCCCGAGTTGGTAGAGGTGCTGGTTCGGACCCGTGTACGGATACATCCACTCCTCGGTGCATCGCAGGTCTTTGACCCTCCGGAAAGGTTGGGGCATGTGGGTGCCAGGCATTGAAGTGGTTGGCGATGTCGTAGGTTGGATCCAAAGAGTTTGAGTACTCGAAATCTAGGAGGTGGAGCTCTCCTGGGCTAGCGGCTAGCGTGGTTGCGAGAGCTGAAGCAACTCTCTCTCCGTTTTCAGATTCAGAGGCGATCGGTCATCAACATGTTGTTGTGGTGGAGGTCGTTGTGGTTCAGGCCAGTCCTGGAAAGCTCACGCGGTTTCACGGCAAGAGAAGCCTCGCGTTTCCGTCAAAGCCGCCTGTCATGGAACTCCCACAGCTTGCAGGCAATTCGACGGATGCTCTCCTCCGTCCGGATTTCCTGCAGCCGCGACACGTTCCGTCCGTGACGGCGACACCGTGTCACAAGACCCCTGAGGCGTGTCAAGCTAGGTGTGTCCTCGTACGTCGGAGATCGACCTTCCAGCCACTGCTCGATGCGACCTTCCTCGAAGGTATGCAGCACCTGGAGCAGGCATAGCAGGCCAGCCGGCTGCAGCAGGTCACGGGTTTTTGCTCTCAAGACGCGCCTGGGGTCCAAAGCCGCAGGAAGCCACGTAGCGAGCTCGCTCGACCTCGCGAGAAGAGAAAGAGAGCGAGGGAGAGGGAGAGAGAGAGAGAGAGAGACTTCGGACAGTCGGAGGGTCGGTTGTCGGCCCTTTTTCGGCCAGCGACCGAACTCCCCCCCTTTTCTTCTCCCCCTTCCTTCGGAGGTGTCTCGGCCTCGCGGGGTCTCTGGAAGAGGCCATGGTCGTCGGAGCCGTAGACCCGCAGAAGCAGCTTCTCCTCTAGCGCGAGAACAGAAAGTGCGCCCCGCTCCCCCTCCCTCCGCGTGTCGCGTCTAAACGGTGCAGAGAGGTCCAGGTCCTCCCCGCAGGCCACCTTGTAGACCTCAGGGGCAGAAGGGCAGGCGCACGTGTCGTCGCCCCCGATGGGCGTGAGGCGCGAGCAGTGTTGGAACAGGCCACGGTGAGGTGCTGGAAGTGGATCTTGCCTGGCCTCCGCACTGGACTTTGAAGATCTCAAAGTCTCAAAGCCCAGGCAAGGGCCAACAAGCTTGTTTAAAGACGCCTCCAGGACGGCCGAACACGGAGTACCTGAGCTGCCCGGCTTTCTTCTCCGCTCCGCTCCAAAGCCTCTTTTTGGCCCGGCCCGGCCCGGTCCGGCCCGGCCTGCTCAAGGAAGCGAGTGGCTGCCATCACAAAAGGCGCGCAGAAAGCTGGAAAAACGGGGGGCGGGGGGCGGGGCTTTCATGTTTCGCTCTCGGAGTGCTTTGATCTGCCACCGTCTTTGTTTTGTGCTGATGGTATATATTGGAGGTACTAGAGGCATTCGAGTGTGGAGGAGCTTGCTGAGCACTTTTTGCACGTGTGTAGAGGATCAGCCGGTCTGGGAGCCGAGACATGGCGCTGCCACAGGGAGAGGCGGGCTGCGTGTTGAAGCGACTCTTCGCCAAGGAGCGGCCCTAAGGGGTCTGAGCACGCCGCCGCCCGGGCTGCCCTTCCCGAAGTCCTGACGAGTGCCAGTCAGTGCCAGTGCGCCTCCCTCTCCTCCCGGTCCTTTCCCTACAGGAGAGGCTGCTCTTTTCTCTCCCCCCGCTTTCAGCCCAGTTTTCAGACTGCTCGAGCTTCTACTCGGACGCCGCGCCAGCTTTGGGCACAGCGCTTACGTTAGCAGGATGTCCGCGACCAGGGGCAGATGGTCCGAGCCTGGAAGGAACAAGTCCGGAGAGCTTGAGGAGCCTCAAGAAAGAGCTATCAGATTCTGGCACGACACTATAGTATAGTAATATACTAGTACCCCCTAGGAGTTTCCAGAGATCCGGCCTGTCGCCGCCGCAACGAAAGCGGCTTTGGCCTCACCTTTGAGACGGGAGCGGGGACGGGCAGGGAGTTTATAGGCAAAAAAGAGGGAGGGGAGGGAGGTTTGTTTTTGTGTGCCAAAGAGCCAATGTCGCTGAAGTGCTTGGAAGCGTAGATGTAATCGATCCGGATCGGCGGCCCGGGCCCCTCCTTCTTCGTCCACCGCGACCGCTCCGAGGCGGCCGCGGCCTCGGAGGGGCTGAGCCTCGGCTCAACTCTGCACGCCTCTTCTCTTTAAGCCTCTCTCTGCCTTTCTTGCAGGCGACTGGTGGATGCTGTCGCCAAGATCGCTGTAGCCTTCTCTCTCCAGAGCCAACAGGGCCTGGGAGTTTTCGGGCGGCGCCCAGCCTTTCAAGGCGTTCCGCTGCTCCAAACCAGCCCACTCCTCCAGACAGAGAGAGCCATAGAGAGTCTTGTGCAGCGGGGGCGGAAGCTGGGGGAAGCTGCGTCCTGGTCTGTGTAGTCTGACCTCTTCATCGCCTTCAGAGTTGCGCGCACTGGAGGCACCAGGGCCGCTGCAACTGTCGCTTCTCTCGCTTATGAAGGCAGAATGCCGAATGAAGAGGATGCTGCGTGTGCAGGAGAGGAGCATTGAGATCTCCCACAAGCAGGTGGGGCAGATCATGAGACAGCAGCGTGTGGCTGGACAGAAAGGATTCTGCTTGCCGTAGTCGCTCTGCCTCTGCAAAGTGCGGGCAAAGTGCTTCACAGTGCTCCTGCTGCTCAGAGCTTTTATGGCTTCTCTCCGCGTTCCGGTGCCTCAGAGATGTGGTCCCAGTGGGTCACCAGCGTGGCAAACTGCTTGCCCTGCACCTCCACACACACCTCAGCTCAAGATTGCCGAAATGTCAGCTGTTCGTTGCTTATGGTCACACCGTCGAAAGTGTTGCGAATGTCGGTCAACTGCATCGAGGCTTCTGAGAGGCATCCGCGACCGATGTGCTTCGTCTTTCCAGGACCAAGGGTTATCACAGAGCCCCCCTCGAGGTGGAGCGAATCGCAATGCAGGACCTGGAGCCTCTTTCCGACCAAGATGGCATTGCCGAAAGTCTCATACCCAGGATTTGCATGAGCAAAGAAGAACTCCATCTCCTCCAAGTCTTCTGCCAAGGCCTCCAAGCTGTCCTCCCGGAAGCTTCCTTCCGGGTCCTGAACAACGCACGCACCGCTCAGCCCAAGCCTCCAGAAGACGCCTCTGCTCTCTTCGCAAGTCCTTGAGCCGCAGGCGCTTAACCTGAAGAAGGCGCAGCCGCCAGCCCCCCGCCCCCCGCCGCATCTCTCTCCCCCTGCCACCCGCGCACCTCGTTGAGGCAAATGATGTCTGCCTTCAGGCCTTGCAAGTCCTCGAGCGCTCGAGTCTCTCCGTTCCCCCCGGGAAGGCCGGTTTTGGTGCCGCTTTCAGGTCTCTGCAACTGTGCCTCGCGGAGCTTGCCATAGACCTGTGCCCACAGCTCAACGAAACAAGACGCAGCTCTTACAGCACTGATGGGACCTCTGTGACCATCGCTTCGTCGACGTCCCCGAAGCCTGCGCCGAAGCCGCAAACGTTGTAGGCCACCACTCGGAGCTGTCTTGGGCCGGGTACGCCTGGGTCTGTCCGGGGCTGCATCTCTGAAAGGGCGAAAGCGCTTTTGGCCCTTTTGCCCCAGAAGAATCCGCTTAAGGCGAGCGAGGCCAGACTCCAAATCCATCGGGGTCTCATCGTTGGAGCCGCTGAACGGCTGCGGTGAGGGATAAAAGCCAAGAAGTGCGCAGCAAAAGTCCTAAAAGAACGGTACGGTGCGCGTTTGGCGAGCTGCCTGGTTCCAGGCCCAAGCAGGCGCCGTCGGTGGCGCACCTGGCTCACGGAAAATGGGGTGGTCTTCTTTGGCCTCCCCGGCCGAACCCGCCGAAAAGGGGTCAAGGAGGCCTTTGCCGAAGGGCGCTCCGGGCCAGGCACCGGGCCACCAGGATTGCGCCGCCTGCACCGCCTGCGCCGCCTGCTGGGCCTGCTGCCCTCCAGGCACCATCACGGCAAACCCGGCTGGAGCTCCCGGTGCCGGGAGCCCCTTCTGGGCTCCCTTTCCCGGCCGGGGATCGATGACCTGACTCACACATCGCGAAGAACTGTCGCTCAAAGCCCTTGAAGCTGAAACGGTGGCTAAGCGCGGTCCAGCCCCCTGTCGCGCCCGTCCCTCAAAGCTTCCGAATGCCAAGGTCGGAGCGCGGGCTGCGGAGGCCGCGGTAGGCGAAGGCTCAGGCACCGCGGGCGGAGTGGTTCCGGGCTCCTTTTGCTTCTGGGCCTGGACTTCCTCCAGACATTGGGTCTCCTTGAAGTAGAGCACAGCTGACCTTGGTCCTCTGCCTCCTTGCTGTCGGCTTCAGCTTTGGGCGCTTCCGTCCTTGCCACAGGCGCGGGCCGCAGGGGGTGAAGGAGCCGCTGAGTCACTGAGTGCCGAGCTTGGAGGGCCCCTGCAGGCTCAGAACGTCCGAGAAGGACAAAACGTCTTCATTTAAACCCCGAACGAGAGATGGGGCCCGGGATCCTTGGCGGCTGCCTTTGCTTTCCGGCGCTTCTTCCGGCCGAACCTCGGAAGGTTCCGCGAGCGGGCTTTGGCCGGGCCGTCTTGGGCCGAGCGGCTCGTCATAGAGCTCGTCGTCCGAGTTGTGCTCTGCCTCGGGCGCTGGGCGCTGGTCCATTGAGTCTGTGGCGAGCTGCGGCGAGCTGTCAGCTGCTCAGTGCCAAGCTTTCAGATCCGTCGCCGTCTGTCGCTCGTTGAAGCCGCCGCCCCTGCCTGCGCCATTCGTCTGCGAATCCCTATATGATTTGAGGAATTCAGCCATTTTAAGCTCGTGTCGGTGTTGCAACGAGCCACGTGTGTTGTCGGAATCTGCGCCAAGGTCGCGCCTAGCTCCTCGTGGTCCCGCTTCTGGGAGCGAAGGAAGAAGAGGCCTCCGCCGCCCCTGGACCTGAAAGAGATTGCATCTGGAACGGCAACAAAGCACTTGTACCAAGCAAAAGCAAGAGGGCGACGAAGTCAGGAGGGTAGTCAGCTGTGAAATTTAGATGGTCTTGGCCAATTGGCAAGGGCAAGACAGACGCAGGGCATCTATATGATTGTGAAAATTCCATATAAATTTCGGTTCGCCGCTTAATTGTCGTTTGGTCTTTTCGACGGTTGCAATTTATGTTCCTCGTTTTTGCCGTTTGTGTGTAAATTTTCAGCGGGCAAACCAAAGGATGCACAGTCCCAGAACGACAACCACATCCAGAATGACAAACACACGACATAACCGCAACGACGTACAAGGTCAAGGGCAAATGACAAACGAACGACAAACCATGACGCATAAATGACACACACACACACACACTGACAATTCTGGAACCCACCCCGAGCTGTGCTGCAGAATCTTAATTACAACCATACGAACTTTCCTGGAGGGTCCCGAGACCCGGACGCCGGGACGACCTGCCAGGCTACCAAACGGGTCTAAGGCTGTCAGAAGCCTCACCCTTCACCAAATTCTTCTCCTTCGGAGTCCTTGACCCGCCTTGAGGGCATAGGACGGCAAGTCCTCGCCCGCACGCGCCGCACGGTGCTCTCATCGCGGGTGCTACAGGCTGGGCATCCGACAGGCTGCGATCCGGATCCTTTGGGAAAGGCACAAAAACACTCAGAAGAAAAATTAAAACTGCAGCGCGTTGAGCCATTGAGCAGCTCACCGGAGGCCATCCATCAACGCCCGGCAGATGCAAGCCGCGAGATCTTCTGTTAGCTGAGAAGCTCAGACTGCGCAGTTGTCTACGACGCCCGGTCCTGTGCAATGTTGCTCTGGTTTGTGTGGCATGTGCATGAGGGCATGCCTATCTCCCCCTTGATCACCAGGGCTGACATGCAGACTTCTACCACTTGCTCACCAGCTACGTCTGGAAGTCCGCATCCGGTGCCCGGAGCGGCGCAGGGAGGTAGGTAGAGGGGAGGGGGGAAAGCCAATGTTTGGACGTGGACGCTGACTTTGAGGCATCAAGAATGTAACATATATGGCAGATAGTTAGTGCATAGACAACTAGATAGGCAAAGAGACCTTGCAGGCAACTTTTTGGATACATCACACAGGCGTCCGCGGCCGTTTCCGAGCCAGCCTAAGATGACAAGATGCAGTAGTGATGCGCGGCTTGCTTGCACGCAATATCACTGTCAGAGCTCGGGTCTCTCCGTTGCTGTCAAGAAGCAGGGTTACTGTGGCGTCCGCACAGGCGGCTGCGACAGTGTCTCCTTGAAGCTGCACCTGCGTAGACGCACCCACGCGAATCACCAGGAATGAACAGTTTAAACACTTGAGCCTCTGTGCTGTTGTGCGGTAGCAGCAGCTGATATATCGATGGCGATGTTAATTGCTCCGGCAAGTCATGGTGAAAGTGCCCAGATGAAGCACGCACCCGGCCGAAGCACTGCAAGCTCTAAGCATCAAACCCTCACGAACAGCACGGATCTTGCACTTAAGAGCCGGCAACTGCAACACTCTCGCAGCCGTGCTGGCTGATCTGATGGATACGGAGGAGGCAACATCGGATTCGGTGCCAAAATGAACTCTCACCCCAAGCGCCGAGTGGATGGTCGTGTCTTCCCGGGGCGGGAGCTGCACCTGACCCAAGACCGAGTCAAGCGCAGGGACACCACAAGTCTTTGCGAAAAGACTACGTAAATCTCTCTGGTCTACCGCAGAAGATCAACAAAGCGCAGGGAGTTTGGGAAGTTGCGGCCTCTTGCATGCAGCGGCAGGTTCTTAGGTCGAAGATTTCCAGGCGCCCATCTTGGCCTTCGGTCAGGGACGGTTTTCGGGAAGAACGTCACAGCGTCTTCTTCCCCTTTCCCCTGGCTGGGGTCCCCGGGCCGCCGGTGACGACCTCGTGACCGGCACCAAAAGGATCCATGGCCACGGAAGACACCTGACTCCGACGGAAGACAAAAGACTTCCTGCACGCCTTTTTCAGCTTTGGCCTGGGCCAAGCGGTTCATTCTCTGAAGGCTCCAGAGGGACCTTAAGAACTTGAATCACTTGAATGCAACTCCCAGTAAGCGCAACAGATGGAACTTGGGCCAAGTGCCTCCCAGTGAGAGGGCAGAAGACACGGGCGCAGCCGCCGTGGCCGCCTCCGGTTGTCAAAGACCAGCCGTGTCGCCAACGTGGGCCGCGACAGCTCAGAGCTGGGCTTACAGCGATGTCGCGAAGAGCATGGCTGGCAAGACACCTCGACACGAGCTGAGAAGAACGCTTGCGAGGAATCACTGCCGTAAGTCCGTGAGAAGGAACGCGAGGACTTGGATCAGAGGTGGTCAACTCAAGAATCCCGACGGGGGCATGGGGCATGGGCGCCGGGAGCGCCAGGTGCCTAGTAGCAGCAGCAGCAAGCAAATTTAGAACAAGTATTTGAGCAAGATTCCAAGCAATCTTGCAATCTTGGTCTCGCCGACTAGTTTACTTTTGAGACCAAGGAAGTAGAAGAAGTAGTAGTAGTAGTAGTAGTAGTAGGAGTAGGAGTAGGAGTAGTAGTAGGAGTAGGAGTAGGACTAGTAGTAGTAGTAGTAGTAGTAGTAGTAGTAGTAGTAGTAGTAGTAGTGTTAGTAATAGTAATAGTGCTAGTAGTAGTAGTAGTAGTAGTAGTAGTAGCAGCAGCAGCAGCAGCAGCACCAGCAGCAGCACCAGCAGCAGCAGCAGGAGTAGCAAAGAGCGACAAACGTCGCCGGTACTTCACCGGAAAGATTTCCATATTTTTAGTGCTAGCAGTGCTTGTAGGGTGCCACTCGCACTACTATGGTACTACTAGTACCATTGATAGTACGACCACCACTACCACCAGTACCGCTGCCACTGCCACGACGACTGTTCAAGACGCAATGCAGGTGCTTTTTGCTGGAGGCTCTGAGGGCCGGTCAGCACAGGATCCTCGGTGCCCAAGGGCTCTCTCGAAGGGCGCGGCGCGGTTCAGACAGATACAATACATGGGAGAAGGGTCGAAAGCAAGGATGGATATGGTGTGATGGGTGGAGTGAGCGATGTAGAGATCGCAGAACACACTGATGGATTGATGCCTCGACTCCTTTGCATGTTTGCAGGTCTATTCGGACGGAGAGAGAGAGAGAGAGAGAGNNNGAGAGGGAGGGAGAGGGAGAGAGAGGGGGAGTGTTTGTCTGTCTCTACCATCATTCGGTGAGTGCTTAGGCAGAGGAGAGAGGCCGCAGTGAGGCCATCAACTTTCACGCCGTTTCACGCAGTCAAGACATGCTCAAAGCTGTGGCCCCGTCGTCGTGTGTTACGGCAGCGCCGCCGTAAATCGGAGCTCCGCGCCTGGAGCTTTGCAGAAGGTCGGAGCTGTTTCTTGCTTTGGGGCTCTGCTCACTCTGCTCCCTGTGAGACGGACTCGACATCCATGGCGCAGCAGCTGCTTGCCCAACCTTGGGTCACCAGGCCAGGTGTGTCCTTTTTGTGTAGTGTGAAGAAAGGAACCGCCGGGCCGGAACCGCGGACTGCAGCCGGGCAGCTGCTCGCGCAAAGCAGCACCGCCTTGTCCCGTGGACCCCAAGCCAAGCCTCCGGCCCGAAAGCGTGGGGCTTGGGGCCAGGAGCTTCTTTTCTGTGCGCCGCAGTAGTAACACCACCACTGTATATAAAGCAGCATGTCCAAGAACACGGTCAGCAGAAGCATCGCCATCAAAAAGCGCCTGTCGGCGGACCAAAGCTGTGCTCCAAGCCGTTGACCGGAGGCAGCTCGACTACCTCGCGGAAGCCAAAGGCAAAGGGGCGCAACAACAGAGTCTGCTGCTGCTGCTGCTGCTGCTGCTAAGAACGTTCAGATCTACGTCAATTACTTCAGCTACGACTCTGCTGTAGTTGATGCTACCACTGCTGCTGATGACAGCCGGGCGAAGGCCTGTGGCTCGGAGACCAAGCCGCCTCAGTCGACATCGTGCGTGGATGTTTGGCTGCACACCTCGCAGCACCAGGCCTGTTTAAGGCGCTCCGCGGCGCGCGGTGAGACGTAGTTTATCGTAGTTCAAGCACAAGAGGGAGTGCGGAATTTGATGGGGGAGCTGTGCTGAGTCCGGGTGATAGTAGCTGCGGGCCACGTTAGCAGGTGATGCGAACAGCAAGGAGCACGTGTTCATGAATACTGTCTTGGGTTCAAGACTCCGCGAACCAGAGGCTGGGGATGAGCTGGATCATGTCATCGTGCTATTGTCCCGATGACTTGATGCATGATCTATCTGGTTCGGGGTGTGTGCGGATCTGTGTGTCTGTAAGATGTAACGAGGTTTCACGCTTCCCACTTCGGGCCTAAACAGGTGAAACCGGAAGGCATCATAACCATAGGTCCAGAACGGACAGCCTTCTAAGCCGGAAGTCAAAATCTCTGAAGACTTCGCAGACGCCCGCATCTCTTGCCGGCTCTAGACTAGGGTCGGGCTCCGAGCCTTGTTGCTGGCCCGTATTGACCTGCCATCGTTCCGAGGCTGCGGTCCGAGAGAACAAAGACACCAGCTAACGTCTCCGTCGTAGCAAGTGAAGCTTAAGGCTTAGGACCCCAAATAACCCACATTTTTAGGGTTCCTTATTATGATTTCATGAAATAAGTCCCTAAAACGGTAGGTTATAAGGGGTTCAGGTAGGCTGTATCTTGGGCTTCCAGCAACTCGCTCGGACAGCTCCCTCTGTGGCGACGTCCCGGCTCGCCCGGAGAGAAACCTCTAGCCGAAGCCAACCCCTCGCACCCTTTGCAACCCCACCCCACCCGACCCCACCCCATCCAACCCATCCAACCCAACCCAACTCTCTCTGTCTCTCTGTCAGGGTAGCCTTGATGGTGTACTGCAAGATTGAAAAGATTGCAACCCCGCGCAACTTTTCCATGTGCACGTCGGCCTTCCAAAGCAGCACCAGCTTGTCACCACCGGCACTGGCCTTCGGCAGGAGAGTCGTCGGACACAACATGAGCGACCAGCTCCGAACTAGATGTTGAGGTGCGCACCAGCAGACCAAGTCTTTGCTGTAAGTCGAGGCACCAGACCTTTCACCACACGGGGAAGAATTCCTGGACCGAGCCGCTCTGCAGGGGATCTGGGAGTCAGGACAGCATCGCGATGCCCTCGGAGCCTTTGGTGCTGACCAGCCTGCCTGCAGTCCTCCAACACGAAGTCTGGAGGATAGCAGTGAGACACATGTCATATATGTGTCAGAAATTGAACACATGTCCATATGTGCATATATGTACATATGGTAACCCCCATATTGACCCACACTTATCTACGGATCAATCCCATATAATAGTGATCTGTATATGCTCTTGGCTATCGCAAACAGTTTAAAGAACGTGAATATCACACTTTATTAAGATCAAGTAAATGCATAATAAACTCAAGACACTACTGAAACATGTAAGAACCAAGCCTATACAGCATCCGAAGCACTGTAAACCAGAACAAAACCAAACAAGAAACTCAAAAAACAACAAACCGACACAAACACACACGAACAAACCAGACCAACACAAAGAGCAAAAACGCAGCAACCGAAACTGAGGACCATTTCCGAAACAAAGGGCTGGATTGTGTTTTTTGTTTTGTGGGTACCTGCTGCTCCGCGGTTGTGCTGGTTTGCCGGGCGGCATTGCTCGCACAGGCAGAATCTGGATATCATGTGGTCTTCCTGTCTGGTGCGGTTCACGAGAAACTTGC